TATGCCAAACCCTTTGTATTCCTTGTGGCTTGGCTCATTGCCTGCTGGAGTTACAGTATGAAGGGGAAAATTCTCAGGAAGAGAAAGGAGCATACTGTGAAGACGGTTCAAGCGTTGCCCCTTCTGGCTTCTATTCTGAGAATTTAGCAACAGGTTGGCTTGCCGGTGGCGTGGAAGATAAATTTGTACAGATGAGATGCTTGTTATGTATTGGCGATTGGAAGGGAGGTCTGAGAGGTAGCATAGTTCTCAGTGGAGAAGGGAGAAAAGGGAGGAACTCAGAGCAGTTTGGGTCCCTGGCAGTAGCTGGAGGAAGACTGTGCAGGACCCAGGAGGAAAGGGAGAGGGTCTGTTGCTAACACCAGCAGTTGACCAAAGGCACAACAGGCCCCATGTTGCACATTGTGGATCCTGAAGCTCCCAGTCAGGGGATTAATATTGCAAACAAGCTATTCCGATATTGCAAACAGGTTCTTGGAAACATTTCTTTCCCAAACCTTTTCAGATTTTCCACAGAAAGGATAAATCTAGATTAAATTGTTGGGCAGGGAGAGGGAGATAAAAAACCTAACATTTTGATGCTGATGTTGTGTGGACACTGCCAAAAATTTCATGCATGACATTAGTAATACCGATCCTACAATAAACACCTGTCTGGAAGCATGCTTAGCCCCAAGATGGGCCAATAAGAACCGTGATGGCATGAGATGTGACTTTTTTTTTTTAAAGGTAAATCTCTATGGGAGCAGTGGTGTGAAAATGTGCATTTCCAAAAAGCAAACGGGCTAAAAGGTGTCATTTGCACACTTACTCCATACTGTATATTGTTTTTCCTTGAACCAAAGTGCCCCTGAAGGATTTAGCACTCCCCATCTATGAAGTTCTGCTTCCGCCTACTGGTCAAAGTGGGTCATAACAGAGAGACGCAAATTTCCCTTTTCAGTGTTGCCCCCAAGGCCTTTCATCTCCCAGGACCCTGTATGTTGTGATTTTCTATATCACAGATGTTCCAGGTTTATTTTTTGTCCTGCTTTCGTTGCACTCAGCCATCAAGCTCACTATTTGGCCTTGGATCAGCCACTGTCTCTTCCCCTTACCTACTTTGCAGGGATAAACGAAGGAGAGGGAGAACCATGTGTGACTCCTTGAGTTCTTTGGAGGAAATGTAGAATATAGATGGAATGATAAATAGATGGTATAGTAGGGTTGCCATATTTCAAAAAGTTGTTTCCGACAGCCGATTCCCGGCTATGTCCGGGAAATTCCAGACGTATGGCAACCCTATAGTATAGGTAGGCCTAGAGACACCATGTGGCTGGATTAACTAATCTGGTGCATTTGAACCCAGATGAACTCCCTGGTTCTGCCCTACTAAGAGAAAAACAGGTGAACAGACTTAGTAAAATATGGTTTCTCACCTCAGGATACTGGAATCTCTTGGTCTGAGAGTTAAAGCCCTTTCGTTCGGAATTGGAGATCACTGTGGTTTGGAATTTGAAAGGAATGGAACAACAGCTCAGGCCTAGAAAAAGAAATCAATAAAAAATCATGCAACACAAATGCAGAGAGAAATAGTGACTAGAGACAGTTGATAGTAATAGAAAATGAACTATCAAAAATGCCTTAAAAGTGTGGCATACTTTCTTGAAGATTCCTGCTCCTGCCTGGTCCTTTGGCCCCAACAGCTGAGGCCCCAGCGGCTTTGAAATAAAAGAAGTGGAAACTCTAAACACCAACAGCAGGTAAAGCATAAAGACTCTTGTGCCATGTTGCATCCCAATGGCCAGTCACCACCATACCTGGTCCTCCATTCACTAAAGGATGGTGGATGGAAGCCACTCAAGCAAGGATGGAGAGTCTGTTTCAGCCCCAGGGTCACATGCTATTGGTGGGCACTGCCAGTGGCAAAAGCAGACAGAGCAATGGATATAAATATTATCTTTGTACAGACACTCACACACCCCTCTCTGTCTCCCATTCAGGCAAGCAAGAGGCATAATGAGTTCAAGGACTCATTCCAGCCAGGCTGGAGCACTCAGAGCATGAAGCAGGGCCTATGAGGAATGTGGCCTGTGAAGTAGGGGTGTGGCCTGTGGGTGTAGGTGTGGCCTATAGAGTAGGGGTGTGGCCTGTGGAGAGTTCTGAGGGCCAGGTAGAGAGGACTGGAGGGCCACATTTAATCACCAGGCCTGAGATTCTCTACCCCTAACAAAGAATGTCTTCCAGGATTGCAACTCCCCTTCCTGATTCATACCATCACACCTTTAGAAGATACCTGAGGTCAGCCCTATATAGGGAAGCTTTTTAATGTGTAATGCTTTATTATGTTTTTCTGTATGTTGGAAGCTGCCCAGAGTGGCTGGGGCAACCCAGTCAGATGGGTGGGGTACAAATAAAATCATCATCATCATTCATGGTTCAGACTCCATCCAATACCTTTAGCCTCAAGTACAGGAGAGATAGCCTTTTTGCTTTTTCTATTCAGTTGATACGTGTCAAAGCTATTGTCCATGTCACACCACTACTGCAAGCTAGGTGACTTCCCTTCTCATCAGCTTTGCCATCTTGTTTCTGAAACATTAACAAATAAATTCGAATCAAGAAGATTTTTCTAGGCATTAAAAGCTAAATAATATGGCATAACCAAAAGAGAATTTGTGGTAATTACAGATAGAGTTGCAACACTGGTTACATGACTGATCAATTATTGTTAATTAAGAAAAATATTGGTACTATTGATAGCCTATCCTCCATGAATTTGTAGAATAATCTTTTAAAGGTATCCAGGATGGTGGCCATCACTTATCACGCTTGGGAGCGAATTCCATGCTATTACTTTGTGAAGAAGATCTTACATTTGTCTGTCCTGAATCCATGGGCGTATCAAGGTGGCGTATGTGGTTCTCCCCCTCCTCATTTGATCCTCACAAAAACCTTTTGAAGCTGAGAGACAATGACTGGCCCAAAATCACCTAGTGAGCTTCATGGCAAGCGTTGATTTGAATCCCTGGCCTCCCAGGTCCTAGTCTGACTCTAACCACTATGCCACACTGGTTTTCAACAGACAAAAACACTTAAGGAAGTGCAAAGCAAGGCCAGCAAGGGATGTGACTGAGGAGGGAGTGTGGCCTGGGTAGAGACCTGAAGACCAGGTAGAGAGCCTTGGAGGGCCACATGTGGCCCCCAGGCCTGGGTTTCCCTGGCTCTGGGCTCTACCCTCTGCCACATCTAGCCCACAATACTTCCAGGCCACAGCAACAAGGAGGTTATTGTTTTGTGTGACACCCAGCCAGATCCAACAGCCTGGAATGTAACTTGTTATGCGGTGGCACAATAAATACATTTTTTACTTTTTAAAAAGCCCTAATGCATCATCTGCAGGGACTGGCTCATTCCTAAAGACAAAGCACTGCAGGTTGGGACCTGTTACTCCTTACCTGGCTGGCTCTCAGGGGAGAATGCTGGGGAAGTTTACACTCTGTTGCCTAGGCAACTGGAGAGCCCAGCCTGTTTTTCTCCTCCAGTCGTTTTGCCTGTCACTTTTGGTGGCTTAAAAGTATGCCAATCACAGATAGGCTCTCTGAAGCTGCCTTTTCTTCCAGAAGCTGAATGGAAACCAAGCGTGAACCAATGGCGCACAAGCACTTTGACTGCACCCGCCTTTGCTTAAGGTGGTCGAGGAAGCTTCGCAGCATCTTTTAAAAATATGTCTTTCCAAGTTCAAAACGCTGAGGTTAAATGCTTAGAGCTCTGCCTGACTGCCATTTTAAATTTAACTCTCTCGCTTCTGACTGGTGCTGTCATGTTTCTTGCCTCAGTTTGTTGCTGGTTGTGGGGAGAGTTTACCCCAACTTCTGCCCCAGAACTGAGTCACTGCCTAGTTGGAACAGAACTGGTAAAAGTAAAATCATCTCAGGCCCTGCCATGGCTGAGCTTTCCTCTCTCTGCCTCCCTACAGGGTGATCTAGCATCAGCTGCCCTGTGGGAAGGATCCCGATGTGCATTTATTATCATCACATTTTTTCAAGGTTTTTAAGTGATTGAATATTACTTGTTACATTTATCACAGTGTGTGATAAAACTCATTTTACTTATTTTACGTATTTCATAAGATGTATATACGCCTTGATTGTTTAAAAATAATAATCCACACACTCAAATAAGTTTAACACTTCTGTTCACTGTAGCATCTTGCTACTGATGATGTTACATGAACAATGGGAGACTCAGATGTGAATGTGCTTGATTACAATTCACCTAGAAGTTCAGTTCCATTAATTTGGGTCAGAATAGAGGCATTGTTTTCCTTTCCCACTGTAGGTGAATGAACCCAGCATTACCAATCTGATTTTCTTTTATCATTGATGTTGTGAAGGTACATTGTGCTTAGTTTTTGTACATTAAATTCCTAACTGGATATAGCTGTCAACTGCGAACACATCATCTTGTGTCGTGCCATAATGCATATTTTATTTTATTTCACCTGAAGCTTACACCGCACAACACAATACTCATTTGTTGTGCTTTGCTGCAGAAGACTAAACACGCATATACCACTCTATGGAAATTGTGACAAGCTTTTTAGTTGAGTTTTTCTGCATCAGGCTGGTTCCTCAAAAGTAATAATACTGCATTTATGAATCACTTTCTACAAAAAAAAATATTCTCAGAGCGATTTACAAATACATAAAATACCAAATAGCTTGTCAGTGGTTTAAAACTAAATACATGAAATAAAAAATAGAACAAAAGAATGCTTTGAGAAAGAACGCCTCCGAGTGGGGAGGCAAACGACTCAAGGATTGTTGTTGTTGTTCCCAACGGTGGCCACTAGGGGCCCCCTCACAAACAAGAACGTACAGTATTGCACACTTCAAGCAAGCTTAACCGGTCGCTTTAAGAATGCCGTATTACACAAGCCAATGGCTTGCCTGATCGGGGTTTCCTGTCTGTGTGAGTGGCAGTGTCCAGATCAAATAGGATGCTTGTTTTTTGAGGAGCGAAGCCCCGCCCTGCGTTCCAAGCGCTCCATCAGCTGCGGGGAAAGAAACATTCCGAGGGCTTTGGGTGCTCTGCTTTCTGGCTACGAAGGCTGGATAACACATACGCCCACCTCGGGACGAAGACAAGGTGAGTGTTTCGGGGTGCTTTTGTAAAGGGAAATGGGGTTTTGGAATGGATTTAGAAATGAATGCACTTGAAATAATTGGTTTTTCCTGGATGTTTGCAGTCTTACTTAATAATTCAGTCGTTCTTTCACTGTTAAATGCTACTATAAAAAGCAATCAAACAAATGAATTTATAGATAATCAAAGTGATCTTTCGTTTGTTTATTAGTAGCCTTCAAGCTACTTCAAGAGAAACGGAGAAGTTAAAATGTGACTTTTCATTAACCAGGAAGTAAGAGGGAGGAAAACTTGCTTTTAATTCCACCTGCTTATTGTCCCTCTTTTATTCCGTCCTTTTTTCGTTCTTTCTTTTTTGGGAAGTTTACATATCCTGAATGTTCACATAAAGGCCAATTCCACAGGGACAAGCGATGTTAAGTCTATCACGGTGGAAAGCCATCCAGAGTATCTTGTGGTGCCTTTTGAAAGACGGAACGATTGATTGTGGCTTTCATGCGCCGGAGGCCCAGCGCGCTCACTTCATGCAATGCGTTAAGTGGTCAGTCCAGTAAGTGCGCAGGTATATATAATATATCTGCTGTTAAATACAGGGCAGGGGGCAGGAGAAGGAAATGGCTAAAACGCCCAACAGTGTAAAAGAGAATTGTGTGAGTTGCCATGCTGCACAAAAATGAATACAGTACCAGACCCAGTCACTTTTGGTAAATGAATAAATATAGACCGCTATTAGTTAATCCCTGTGTTTCAAACGTTTGGCACCAACTAGAATTGCATGCACACGATACATGTAAAGCCACTCCCCTCCCAAATCCTGAGAACTGTAATTTGTTAAAGGTGTTGGGAGTTGTAACTCTGTGAGCGGAAAACTATAGTTCCCAAGAATCTTGAGGTGGTAGGGGGTGGGATGTGCTTTAAAAATGTACAGTGCGTCCACAGCCAAGTTGGACGTTCAGTGTTGCTGGTCCCATAAGTGTGGAACACTCTTCCAGCAAGCATCCTTAAGATGTCACTTGAATACTTTTTTACGCTGGCAGGCCTGTTGGGTTGTTTAAACTTTTTAAATATGTGCCTTTCACTTTCACGATTCCTCTGCATTTTTATGGTATTTTGTGCTTTTTGTACTTGTAAATTTTGTTGTACAATGCCCTGATACTTTATATGAGGAGCAGCCCATAAATATGTTTAATAAGTAAATAACACAGAATTGTTCTGAAAAGAGTTTGTGATACAGATCACTGATTTGCTTTCCCTGCACCCCATAACAGAAGAGTTGCTGTGAAAGTGGGGGTGGGAGAGAGGATTATATTTGGTATATTACTTAGTGCGTTATATTTATCTGAATGTGAACTTGGATTAATGCCTAAATCAGTTATTTGCTCTACAGAGATTAGTGAACTTTAGAATTCAGAACTGGGGACAGACTGTAGGCAAGGAATACTGCCACGTTGGTGTTTGAAGTAGGGGAATCAAATTGAGAAACCGGCTGCCAATTCCAAATAATAGACAAGTTGTAAGTCACCTTGGAGCATTCCCTGTTTGCTAAATACAAGTAAAATAAACATGCTAAATTAGATCACTCCCTAGGGCTTGTGGGAAGGATCTGTGGTTCTTCAGATATTGTTGGTACTCAAACTCCCACCACCCATGTTCATGGACAATGTTGGCTGAGGCTGATGTGAGTTGGAGTACTAACAATATCTGAAGAACCACATTCCGTTCCCCCCACCCCCGGGCATAAGGGATTTTTTCTCTTCCCTCCACCATCTGCTCCACAAGGTATGGGGAACCCCAGAACAAATTCAGAAGTGTGTGAAGGGGATGAAGAGGAAGGGAAATTTCCGTTGCACAAGCAGAATGTCCTTACATGAACTGGACAGTGTTGTTGGGTGAAACCCATAGGAAGCTGCCTTATACCGAATTGGACCATTATTGGAATTGGCTTGCCTTTAGATTTTTACATGGGAATAAGCGTCACTGAAATCATCAGTATGTTTGCTTCTGACGAACATAAGAAACTGCCTTATTCCGAGTCTGACTGATGGTCTGTCTAGTTCAGTATTGTCCACACTGACCAGCAACCGCTCTCCAGGGTTACAGACAGGGAGTATTCCCAGTGCTGCCTGAATATGTTGGGAATTCAACCTGGGACCTTCTGCACCTATGCAGTTTCCTCAGGTGTCACATGTGCTGTGTTCTGTGCCAGCTACAGCTTCCAGCGGAGTCTCAAGGGGAGCCCTGTATGAAGTGCAGCATGTTCATGGCTTCTATGCTACATCGGTGCTCTCTTACCAGTGACCAGGAAACAGAAACTTTTCAGAAACATCTGGTCATCAGTGTGTCTCTTTCTAGAGTAAACCCCCCCCACACACACACACTTATTTTTTTTGTGCAGGAAGCAGAGCAACAACGGACAAGATACCTGGTCCCACCCCATCATGGCTCCCCTGTAGTGGCAAAATGCTGAGGAGAAAGATGGATCCAGTTGCTCCCTGGTTGGTTTAAAGAACTGCTGTAGTTATAACTAAGCAAGAAGCAAACTGGGAAAGGAATGCATAAGTAAACCAAAATGGAGAGAGAAAATGGCCCTGGTCTACAGCTCCAGCCGCTTGCAACGTTGTCTGTACCACGGCTAGCTCATGAGGATTCCTTCTCTTACAAGGTAAAGTTATTTTCCATCCTAGATTATTATCGAGGTTGCTGCAGGACAAAGGTGCAAGTAAAGAGACTTGTTTTGTTTTGAAAAAAGTAATGAGTGTGAGTTGCTGGACATTTACAATGAAAGCCTTCTTACCCAGCCTCCAGTTTTCTCAAGGTTTTCTGAGAAAGATCATAATATTTACCAAAATATATACCAAATAGTTTATTTATTCAATAACCCGAAGGTTTTCAGGCTGGCAAACACAAAAAACGTTTAACACCCTCACAGCTATTAATTTCAATTTCTATTCATTTATTAAATGGATATTTAATATCTAAAAGAAAGGAGGCTGAAAGGAAAGTCAGTGTGGAGGAAGCGAAAAAGAATCATGTTAAAGGTATCTTTTTTGGAGATGCCACCAATGGTATGTGAGGTATTCTGATAGAGCAATGCTCCAGCTGTTATTAACCCTATCTGGTCCCCTTTTTTCTCTTTTATTGAAGGATATTTTAATGCCATCATCATAGAAGGTGTTTGTGGAGGGGATATATTAATTGAAAATGTCTAGTAAACCAATGCCTAGTAAACCAGATTGGTAGCTGGGTTCCTATTGAGTGTATTTGGCAAGCCATTATGACAGTGAGAATGGATTGAGGATTAGAGTGATCATTCTGTGATATTATGGCAGTGGACAAAGTTGTATTTAACTTTTGAATAAATGTGTTGTTATACTTATAATAATAATAATAATAAATAGCCAAGCCTGCAGAAAAAATACTTTGATATATTACATATTTTCCCCATTGCAAGTGGTTACAGTCATGTTTTCAGGACAGATAGACAAAAGAAAGTGCTTCGTCGCATAGTGCATAGTTAAACCATGGAATTCATTTCACTAAGAGGTAAAGATGGCCACCAACTTGGTTGGCTTTAAAAGAGGATTAGCCTGCATGGAGGCAAAGGCTATCAGTAGCTACTAACCCTCTTGGCTATGTTCTGCTTCCAGGGTTGTAGGCGATATGCCTCTGTTTACCAGTTGCTGGAAACAGCAGGAGGGGAGAGTGTGGTTGTGCTCAGCTCTGCTTCTGGGCTTCCCATAGGCATCCTGTTGGCCACTGTGAGAACAGGACAAGCCTGCTGAGAGGTTTAGAAAGTTTGTAGGAAGTTTAATTTGTTTTAGTCTGTTTTACTGCAGTTTTAACCATCTGTAAGGATTCTAGATAGGTTGGTCCTTTGACCTGACCGCCAGAGCTCTTAATTACCGTATTTTTGTGTGTATAAGATGCCCCCATGTATAAGACTATTTTGGGGGACTCCAAATTAAGAAAACACCCCTCAGCACTACCTGTGTATAAGATGAGCCCCAATTTTAAACCGACCGTAATTTTTTGGTTAACCCCCCCCCCTAGTTTTATACACGGAAAAATACGGTATGTTCCTCCTCTCAGCGGCTCAGAGTGACAAACAAGCTTCTCTCTGCCATTTTATCCTCACAACAACCCTGTTTTGTAGGTTCCTCTTGTCCTCCAAGGGCAATTGAGGGAGCTTCAAGGCTAAATGGGGATTTGAACCTGGGTCTCCCAGGACTTAGCTCAGCACTCTTAACCACTACACCACTTCAGTACTTTCCGTGAAGAAGATTCCTAAACTGGTCTCAGTTAAGCTGTGCTTTTAAATTTTTAATTTAGTGTTTTTAAAATGGTGTGGTGAATGCCTACCTGGGGTTAGTTTCTGCTTTGGCACTGCTGCCTTGCATTCGGGAGCTGCCTGGAAATGAACAGAAGGATCAGGGCAGGGAGGGAAGAAGTTTCCTCTGGATTGACCTGCAAAATCAAGCTGGCTAAGAAACCAGCAGAATCTGCGATAGTTATATTTCTAGAAGCCAGAGTAAGTTGCCGCTTGGGCTGCTGCTATTGTCATTCCATTCTTGGGTCTTAGGGGGAGGCCCTCAGGCCTTTTCATCAGCTCAGTTGATAGCTCAGTTGGTTAGAGTGTGGTTCTGATAATGCCAAGGTTGCAGGCTCAGATCCCATATGGGACAGCTGCACATTCCTCCATTGCAAGGTTTTAGACTAGATGACCGTCAGGGCCCCTTCCAAATCTATGGTTCTATGTTCTATGCTTCACCACAGTTTTGATGTGCAGTGCACGAACATGATAATGATGGTGATGATGAGTTCTTCATAATATATTTTTATATCCCGCCTTTCTCCGAACTTGGGATCCAAGGCAACTTCCAACACTTAAAAACATCATTGTAAAAAGTTACAGTATTTAAAAATGGAGATTTTGCAAAGAAAGCTCAACAACTTTGCCCCCCAAAACTCAACAATCCTGTGTAAATTTGGGCTGAGTACACACTATACATTTAAAACACACACATACACACACACACCAGAAAAAAAGAAACCTGGGTTTTTTTGACTTGTTAAGGGTGCTGCAATTTGTAGCTCTGTTGAGGTTAGTTCCCAGGATTCGGGGCGGGAGAAAGTCATGCATTTCAAATGTATGGTGTGTACACAGCCTTAGATTCATTTTTTTAAGGTCCTAAATGTAATAGTACCTGATTTAGCATGTGACATCTTGAGTTGCTTTTTATCTTTTAGTTACACACATAGCCTAAATAAATATACATAGGTTTTGTGTTTACACACATGGTTATATGCTTCCTAGGGATAGTCACATTTTTTAAAAACCCTTAATCACATCTTTGAAAGAGCACAGCTTGAAGGGTATTGTATCCCTTCATTGTGTTACTAATTAACTTTTCTGAAACAATGCACAGGATTTTTTCCCATGGAGAAAAAAACATCACAGAGAAATTTCTACCTGACATGACTGTTGGAGGGGAAGCTGTGACTTGGGGTGACATGAGAAAGGGGGGGGGGCAGCTGAGCTTTCTGCCTGCTCCACAGTGTCCTAAGCCAGACAAAAGCACATGACAGTGTATGGATATTACCTTAACGTACTACTGACAGACAGTACGAAGTAATTTAGCATTCCGGTGTTGCATGCTCCTGTTCCTTGCGGTGCTGTCCAGTGTGCTTCACCAGTCTCTGGCTTAAGGCCCCCCCCCCCCGTAAGAACATAAGAAGACGCTGCTAATAATAATAATAATAATTTATTATTTGTACCCCGCCCATCTGGCTGGGTTTCCCCAGCCACTCTGGGCGGCTTCCATAGAAACCAAAAAACACTAAAATATCATACATTAAAAACTTCCCTGAACAGGGCTGCCTTAAGATGTCTTCTGAATGTCAGGTAGTTGTTTATCGTTTTGACATCTGATGGGAGGGCGTTCCACAGGGCGGGCGCCACTACCGAAAAGGCCCTCTGCCTGGTTCCCTGTATCTTTGCTTCTCGCAATGAGGGAACTGCCAGAAGGCCCTCGGCGCTGGACCTCAGTGTCCGGGCAGAACGATGGGGGTGGAGACACTCCTTCAGGTATACTGGGCCGAGGCCGTTTAGGGCTTTAAAGGTCAACACCAGCACTTTGAATTGTGCTCGGAAACGTACTGGGAGCCAATGTAGGTCTTTCAAGACCGGTGTTATGTGGTCTCTGCGGCCGTCACCAGTCTAGCTGCCGCATTCTGGATTAGCTGTAGTTTCCGAGTCACCTTCAAAGGTAGCCCCACGTAGAGCGCATTGCAGTAGTCCAAGCGGGAGATAACTAGAGCATGCACCACTCTGGTGAGACAGTCCGCGGGCAGGTAGGGTCTCAGCCTGCGTACCAGGTGGAGTTGGTAGACAGCTGCCCTGGATACAGAATTGACCTGCGCCTCCATGGACAGCTGTGAGTCCAAAATGACTCCCAGGCTATGCACCTGGTCCTTCAGGGGCACAGTTACCCTATTCAGGACCAGGGAGTCCTGGATCAGGCCTGTGGCCCACCTAGTCCAGCATCCTGTTCTTAAAGTGGCCACCTGAGTGCCTTTGGACTCTCCCCTCTGTTGTTTCTAGCAATTGGTAAGCAGAGGCTTGCTGCCTACAACAGTGGAGGTAGACCATATCCATCAGGGTTAGTAGCCCTTGATATCTTTCTCCATGTCTAATCCCTTTTTCAAAGCCATCCAAGTTGGTGGCTACCTCTTGTGGGAATGAATTCCATAATGATACACTTTCTGAAGAAGAAGATGTACATTTCTTTTGTCCATCCTGGATCTTCCAATATGCAGCTTCATTTGATGGGTCCACGAGTTCTAGTCTTAAAGGTACCCCTGACCATTAGGTCCAGTCGTGGACAACTCTGGGGTTGCGGCGCTCATCTCGCTTTACTGGCCAAGGGAGCCGGCCTTTGTCCGCAGACAGCTTTCCGGGTCATGTGGCCAGCATGACTAAGCCGCTTCTGGCGAACCAGAGCAGCGCATGGAAACACCGTTTACCTTCCCGCTGGAGTGGTACCTATTTATCTACTTGCACTTGACGTGCTTTTGAACTGCTAGGTAGGCAGGAGCTGGGACAGAACAACGGATGCTCGCCCCCGTCATGGGGATTCGAACTGCCGACCTTCCGATTGGCAAGCCCTAGGCTCTGTGGTTTAGACCACAGCTTTCACCATGCCATGCCTAATTTTATACAGTTCTGTCATGTCTCCTCTTATTCACCTTTCCTCTAAGCTACAAAGCCCAAAAGGCTGAAACCTTTCTCACAGGGAAGTCGCTCCATCCCCTTTATCATTTTGGTTGCCCTGCTCCGAACCTTTTCCAACTACAGTGGTACCTCGGGTTACATACGCTTCAGGTTACAGACTCCGCTAACCCAGAAATAGTACCTCGGGTTAAGAACTTTGCTTCAGGGTGAGAACAGAAATCGTGCTCTGGAGGTGCGGCAGCAGCAGGAGGCCCCATTAGCTAAAGTGCTGCTTCAGGTTAAGAACAGTTTCAGGTTAAGAACAGACCTCTGGAACAAATTAAGTACTTAACCCGAGGTACCACTGTATACAATATATCATTTCTGAGGCACCCACTATGGAGTACACTTGGTGTACATTGTTGAATTGTGTAACTGACTGAATTGTCAGGTCTTCAAAATAATTTCAAGTTGAAGGTTTGCATTAGTTTGAATAGAACATTTAAACCACACTAAGGCTGCTGTCTGCTTAAAACAGCATAATCCTGTGGATGTCTAGTCAGAGGTAAGTCCTATGGAGTCCAGTGGGGCTTACTCCCAGGTAAGGGGTACAGAAATTCAGCCTCACTGTGCAATCCTAAGATTGGCCCACAGGAAAACTGAAGGCAGTTCATTTGCCGTATCCATCACCTTGCTGGACTCTGCCTGCATGATGGAAGTGAGGAGCGCTCTTGTGCTTCTTTCCCTTTAGCCAACAAGAGGGAAATAAAAAGGATTGAGCTAAATAAAAAGAAGGGAAAGGGATTGGGCTAAATGGCTCCAGAACTAGTGTAATTTATTGTCCAGCTCAGGGGGAAAGGGATTATGGGAAGGACTAGGAGGTAGGAGAGAACCCGTTGCCGCGATTGGTGGCTGAATTTGCTGCCCTTTGGCACAGTGTTGTGATGATGTTGTAAGCCACCTTGGCAGAATTTGAATTTGTTTGACTATTTACATTGAAACTGCCCTAAGGCTGCAGACTGATAGCTACTTATGTCGCAGACATGTACATGTCAGCTCGGAAGACAGTCCCATGTTATCAAGCCTTAAACATACTTGGCCAGTCAAGCATATTTTCTGTATGTGCAGGTGGGATAGAAAGCTAATACCTGCATATATCCTTTTTTCTTGCAGGAAAACCTGATTGGTGCCCTGCTGGCTATTTTTGGACACCTCGTTATCAGCATCGCACTCAACCTCCAGGTGAGCAGTGGGGGAAACAAAAGCAAAAGGATTCCAGAGCAAACCTCAGCAGCAAAAAAAGAATAATGCCACTGTGACTTCTTGTTGCCTTTTCCCCTTCTCTCTTTAGAAATACAGCCATATCCGGCTGGTGGGTTGCAAAGACCACCGGGCCTACTTCAAGACCAAGACATGGTGGTGTGGCCTGTTCCTGCTGTTCCTGGGGGAGCTGGGGGTCTTCTCTGCCTATGCCTTTGCGCCCCTTTCCCTGATTGTGCCACTTGGTGCCGTATCTGTTATAGGTAAATGTATCTTCACACAAGTTTGTCTTATTTAAGAAGCTTATAGGGGAAGGGGAAGTGGGACACAGAAGACAGAGTGTGGCTTTCTTCTTAAATAAATACATATGTGTGTGACATTTCACAAGCCTCCAGTTTGACTTAATGTTTAATCCTTGCCATTTTTCTAGGTGCTCCAACTTAAGGGTCTGTTTTTAGAACATTTTATTATATCAGAGGTAGGGAATCTTTTTGGCCTGGTGGGCCAGGTCGCAGCCCAACTTTGTCAGGTGGGTGGGGCACCCCACCTATCAATCTCCTGACATCATAATGATGTCAGGTGATTGATTGATTGATTGATTGATTGATTGATTAATAGGTGGTTTGTCTTGCCCACCTGCTGAAAATCCCCTGTGTGGTGTTTTCCAAGTGCAGTGCAAGGGGATTTGCCAGCCCAGTACTCAAGCCTAGGGCAGACGAAGCTGCTTTCTACAGGGATTGACTGCGGGGAAACTTGTTCATGCAACCAGTCCAACTGTGTCTCTGCCAGCCCCACACCTGATGTCACATATGATGTCAGCTGTGGGATAGGTGGCCATCATTTGGGGAGCACTGCGTTATGGGCCAAATAAGACCCAAGTCATACCAAATTTGTGTTATAGTTACTGTATATATTTATATTATATTTGGGACGCCAGTGGTGCTGTGGGTTAAATCACAGAGCCTAGGGTTTGCCGATCAGAAGGTCGGCGGTTCGAATCCCCACGACAGGGTGAGCTCCTGTTGCTTGGTCCCTGCTCCTGCCAACCTAGCAGTTCAAAAGCACATCAAAGTGCAAGTAGATAAATAGGGATCGCTCCGGCGGGAAGGTAAATGGCGTTTCCGTGTGCTGCTCTGGTTCGCCAAAAGTGGCTTAGTCATGCTGGCCACATGACCCGGAAGCTGTATACCGGCTCCCTTGGCCAATAAAGCAAGATGAGCGCAGCAACCCCAGAGTCGTCCACAACTGGAACTAACGGTCAGGGGTCCCTTTACCTTTATATTATGTTTGTTATGTTTTTATTTTGTGGTTATATTTGTTTTATAGCTACTTATAGAGAGAGAGTGAGTTTATATTTGTACTTATATGTATTCTGTTTGTTGGTGGTTTTGCAAGCTGCCTTTTCAAGGGTTTGCACCCTAAAAGGGAAGCTATATAGGTACTTTACTCTCCCTCGTGTTAGTAACATCCTTCACCTGTCATTATTTTCTCACTTAGCAAGTGCAATCATTGGAATCATATTCATTAAGGAAAAATGGAAGCCGAAAGACTTCTTGAGTAAGTTCTGGATTTTAAAATACCTTTTTAGCTCCGGCGTAGAATGTGGCTTTCTGTTGCTGCTTTTCCTTTGCTGCCTCCTCACTCTCTTCTGCATGTGTGTACAAGTTGATGAGAATTGGATCCTGGCACTCAGTCCTGGAAGCTCCCGTTGTTCTTGCAAATTGCTTTTTTCTTCTTTCTCGGCTGCTAATTTGTTAGGAACGACCTTGTGAGGGCAGGCTAGCTTTTCATTGTTTCGGAGATGCAGAGCTTAAATTTGTGAGTGTTGCTAGCCCAGCTGCCTGCGTATAGTAGTTCTGTGGCACACTGAGAGCCTGAATAAGAGGAAAGGGGGAGTCTGCAGGCACTTCTTTGCCTGGAGGTTTGTCTCCCTTCTGATCAGGGGCTGTGCACAAGCTGGCGGAAGGGAGCCTGACTGGAGCCGGCTGCGGTAGCTAGGGTGGCACAACCTGGACAAGATGGGCATTGAAGATCATGTGGTCATTAAATAAAATAGCAATAAGTTACATTAAGGTGTCCCCTCCCCTTTTCTCAGCTCTAATTAAACTGGGTGGGTGTTTAAGGTGTATGATGAAATCTAGGTCTCTGTGTATGCAGAGGCTTAGAGGGGCAGAAGGCCAGGCAAAGGGGCACTTGGAGCATCTAGTGGGTTCTGTGCCAGCAGCCCAACACAGTAGAGCAGATTCAGTCAATGAATACTGCTGGCCAGCCTTACAGGAGGAGGAAGAGACAGGAATATATAAAACTGAATGTAAGCATTTTTTGCATAACAGGTTCTGTTTAGGATCAGTTTGAGAAGTGAGAATGGCAGGCACTGCTGGCAGCATTCTTAAATGTTCAGAACCATTCTTATCTAGCATATATATATATATATATATATATATATATATATTCCTCTGTGTCACTCTCTATATGTATGAAATTGCTATTTATGACTCTGCATCTATGACTACTGGAGAGACTTGGCATGAATTTTCTTCAGAGTTTTGCACACTGCTACAGAAACCAAAACAGTTTAGCTTTATTTTACTCTGGATTGTGCAGAATTTTAGCATTTTTAAGGCAAATAGCACAGTACTTGCAAAAGACTGAGTAGTCTATATACCACTAGCAATCAGTAGATCTCAGTGGTTTGCATTTAATAAAATCCAAGTGCCTAGGTATACAATAAACACAATCTCAACCATTCTTAAGTAAGAAGAAAATCAAAGTATTTAGATATTATGCTGTTTTGCATTTATCAAAATAATCATATCCATATAAAATTCGAAGAAATAGAAAAGTGTGAATGCACATATATACAAATGTCAGAATTGCTATGCAAAGCAAACTCTCAAACTCACAATATCCATATATGTTAACTATAATCGTAGTTGTTATAAAATTGTTATAAATTGTTATAAAATTCTGAAAAACAAATGTGTGTCTCTGTGTGTAGTTGTTAAACAAAAATCAAGCTCTAAATAACATTCAACCATCCTCACAATCTCATGCTCACTCCCTTACAAATCGCCATTACGCATTTATTTATTTCAACCATTTATACATCTTGTATTTTTATCTTGTGAACTGCCCTGATGAAGGGTAGTATATAAATCCAAATAATAATAATAAACTATTTAAAACCAGATTTTTCTTTCATAAATCCCTTCCACACACCAGCCAGTAATAATCAAACTCACCAGTCATCAGTAACATGGACTAGTCCATGACTCCTCCCGTTGTCCTTGTCTTGTGTATGTCATCCAAACAGCCATAGGCCTCTGAACTAACCCACTAACACAGCTTCTCCTCCCTTCCTCCTGCCAAAGGGCGCTATGTTTTGTCCTTCATAGGCTGTGGCTTGGCTATTGTTGGGACATACCTGCTGATAACCTTCGGGCCTAACAGTCATGAGACCATGACAGGAGAGAACATCACTAAGCACTTGGTCAGCTGGCCGGTTCTCTTGTATATGGTAAGGAGGCCAGTCTTGGAGTGATACTATCTGGGGTGCTTTGCCTACATCCAAGAATCTGCTTGCCTAATTTGGGGTTTTAAGGAAAAATGTTGCCCATGGGCTTTTTTTTTTTAAAGAGGGAAACCCATGCAGGTTTGGATATAGGAAAGGGGGGGTATGGGTCTCCTTACAGCTGCCCACACTTTCTGAAACTGGCGTCCTTAAATTTTGGAGAATCAAAGACCCTTTACTGGCTTTACTGGCAATGACTTGAAAGATTTTATTCCCCTCTGTTTTTATCCTACACTAGCAAGCTGTCTCTGAGCTGAGGCCCAAAGGATGTGTCATCCCAACCTCTTCCGCTCCATTTTCACAGCTGGAACATCATAAGATGCCCATGTGGTTCCCTCTAGATACTGTTGGACATCAGCTTCCACCAGCCCCTACCAGCATGGCCACTGGTCAGGGGTTCTGGGAGTTGTAATCTAGCAACATTTGGAAAGCATACCACATTGGCTACTTCTTAAGCAGAGGAATGTGGGTTGAGGCGGGGACAGAGATTCCCTGCAACAGTGTAGAGGGGGGTGGAAAGAACAGCATATTGGGACTGGATGCTGGAGACAAATGGCAGGTGGCTTTGTTGCTATCCTAGGTGAATTAAGAGCTCCATCATGCACCTGCTTGTGAGCTTCTCATTGTTGCTTGAAACAGGATGCCAGGCCAGATGAAACTTGGCTCTGGTCCATCAGGGCTCCCTTTACATTTGTAAAGACTGAACATGGCAGAGCATGTGCCTGGGGAAGAGGTAATATGCCCAGGGAGGGCATATTCACATTGCATAAGGCTACCTCCTTACTAAAGAGAAGCAGGTCTGAGGTCTGGTTGGATGGGTGACCGTCTGGGAAGCACATGTATGCTGCCTCAGGTTCCATAACAGAAGAAAAGCAAGGCTATAAATGGAAGAGGACAAAAATGCATACCTTTGTGCTATGTAAAACACTGTAACTTTCTATGTCCAGTAGCACCTTAGAGACCAACTAAGTTTGTCCTTGGTATAAGCTTTCGTGTGCATGCACACTTCTTCAGATATCAAAGTGGTTGGCATCTGAAGAAGTATACATGCACACGAAAGCTTATACCAAGAACAAACTTAGTTGGTCTCTAAGGTGCTACTAGACCAGTGTTTCCCAACCTTGTGCCTCCAGCTGTTTTTGGCCTACAATTCCCATCATCCCTTGCCACTGGTCTTGCTAGTCAGGGATGATGGGAGTTGTAGGCCAAAAACATCTGGAGGCACAAGGTTGGGAAACACTGTACTAGACAATATATATATATATATATATATATATATATATATATATATCAACTGCATCAGACCAACACGGCTACCTACCTGTTTCTATGTGCCGTCAGGGTAGGATGGAAATTGGAGGGAAAAAACAAAATTCCCAGGTTGCTGCTAAATGAAGCAGCTGGTGCCTATTCTTTTTCCATTTCCCAAATGGAGTCGCCTCTCCAGTTCTTACAAAACTAAAGTGTGTGTTGACTTGTTTGTTTTTAAAGCCCATATTTATTTCTGCATTGTTTTTTCCTTCTTCTTCTTTCTCCTAGCTGGTAGAGATCATCATTTTCTGCCTGCTGTTGTATTTCTACAAAGAGAGGAAAGCTAACTATATTGTGGTGATTCTCCTGTTGGCAGCACTCCTGGGTAAGCTTCACACATGCGCTATGTTCACACAACATTGAAGTTTCAAGCACTTGGCTTAATCTTCCAACCACTGGGTCTGTTGAGTCAGAGTAGGCCTGTGGTTAGTTGGCTGCCTAGCTTGTTTGTCAAAACTTTTATACCACCCTTTTTCCTAATGGGTCCCAGGGTAAGTTGCACATATTACCAAAAACAAAACAATGCCCGCTGCCCATATCGGAATTGAAATTCATGAATTATGAAAGCAGGCCTAATGCAGCACTGTGTATTTTTATTCCAGTATCCCTGCTGTTGTAAAGCAAACGAAGAAAAAATAGCCTTTGTTTGTTTGTTTGGAGACCCTTATCACCCCCCCACACACATAGCGACAATTGTCAGAGCTGCTTTCACAGTCGGTCCTTCTTGGTGAACTCTGGGAATTGTAGCTCTGTGAGGGGAATAGAGGTCTCTTAACAGCTCTTAGCACCCTTAACAAACTACACTTCCCAGGATTCTCTGGGGGAAGCCATGTCAGTTTAAAGTGGTATGGTACTGCTTTAAATGCATAGTGCAGATGGAACTGTAGTCAAATGGTAGTATTTGCTCTCACAAGAGATAGGGATAGCCACCAACTTGAATGGCTTTAAAAGAGGATTAGACTCATTCACAGAGGACAAGGACTATCTTTGACATCTACTGCCAGAGGCCTTATGCCTCTGAAAACCAGTTGCTGGGAATTGCAAGTGGAGAGAGTGCAGTTGTGCTCAGGTCCTGCTTGCAGGCTTCCCAAGAGCGTAAAAGTACCCCTAGATGGTTAAGTCCAGTCAAAGGCGACTGTGGGGTGTGGCGCTCATCTTGCTTTCAGTCTGAGGGAGCCAGCGTTTGTCCACAGACAGCTTTCCAGGTCATGTGGCCATCATGACTAAACTGCTTCTGGTGCAGTGGAACACTGTGACAGAAGCCAGAGCACATGGAAACGCTGTTTACCTTCCCGCCACAGCAGTACCTATTTATCTACTTGTACTGGTGCGCTTTCAAACTGCTAGGTTGGCATAAGCTGGGACGGAGCAACGGGAGCTCATCCTGTCGCACCACTGACCTTCTGATCAGCAAGCTCAAGAGGCTCAGTGGTTTAGACCACAGCACCACCTGCGTCCCTCTGGCTGGCCACTGTGAGAACAGGATGCTGGCCTAGATGGGCCACTGGCCTCATCCAGCAGGACTCTAATGTTCCCATCGGTGGGACTTGTGGAACTCATTACCATTGGACGTTTTGCTTCCTGTGACTGTCATTTTCCTTGTTCTCTAGTGATGGGAGGGTTGTTGTCTTAAATATGTTTTAGGTTCTATGACAGTCATCACGGTGAAGGCAGTGGCAGGCATGGTGGTGGTTTCGATACGAGGGAACCTCCAGCTGGGCTACCCCATTTTCTACATCATGGTGGTTTGCATGGTGGCAACGGCATCCTTTCAGGCAACGTAAGTGGCTTGGAGCTTCCTTCCTCTCCCTTTTTCTAAGAGCAACCTTATTTTCCAGCTGTAGCGTACAACTGAATGTCAGCATAATTGAAGTTTAATTAAAATGAATAATACATTAAAGAGCAGCCCCAGGGGGGAAAGCTAGGTAATTGTATTGTTCGTTGTTATTACTGGCAGTGGGCCTTTTAGTAGCTGTTAGCTGCTTTTCCTCTTCTGCAAAGTACCTTGTGACATTTTAAGGATACATTTGAGGAACGCCTTCCCGTTGCTTACAGTCAATGTGCTGCAGTGCAGAAAAATTGCCCTTTTGGGTCAGACCAAACAACCATCCATTCTGACACTCTGGCTGCCGAGAGTGACCAACTAGGCAGCCAACCTCCGTCATCGTTTCTTAGCATCTGGTGATCTAAGATCTGCTGCCCCAGGACGTTGAGGTTTTGTTCTTAGCTACCAAGGCATAGATAGCTAATTTTTAGCTTACCAAGCCTGATCTCTCTGTGTCTGTTAAGAAAAGAAAAAGCACTTGAGGATGGGCTGGTGCAGACTGAAGGGGAAAGCAATCAAGGGGGAGAACTATAGAGCAGCGTTGGGGAGTCTTTAGCCCTCCAGATGTTGGACTCCAACTCCCATCAGCCCCAGCCAGCATCATCAGTGGTCAGGGATGATGGAAACTGTAGTCTAGCAACATCTGGAGAGCCACACATTCCTCAAACCCTGCTGTAGAAGGAAAATTTTATAAGCTGGTAAGCTGGAGGTAAAGTGTGCCCCAGGAATTATTTTTATTTTATTTATTTATTTTATTGTTGTTATTATTACCCACCCTTCATTCTGTAACTGATGTGGAATAATTCATAAGGTTTTCAGATGTATACAGTGTCTGCTTTAATGGAGACTAAAAGGAATCAACGATTGTTATGATTAGGTCAGCCTCTTTTGAGCTGTACGTATAAATATTAGCTGGATACCTAACCATAAACACCTGGATTCAAATCTCCACTTGGCTGTAAAATGCCCTGGGTGATTATCTGAACCTAATGTAAATTACAAGATATAAGGGGTGGTGGTGAAGCACATGTCTTCCACTCTGAGCTCCTTGGTGGGTGGTGGTGCAAACATGTAATAACAAATGGAGACTTGGTGATGACCACTGGCTTAGATAGCTTTTTAAAAGAAATTGGACAGAAGAATGCAATATAAAATCATATTGATGGCTGTTTTAGCCATAGCTGATAAATGGAACTTCCAGCTTCAGAGGCAGTCTACCTCTGTATACTAGTTGCTAGGGAATATGTGGCTGAAGAGGGCTCTTGCCTATCAGTCTGACCCCCTGCTTTTGTTATATTTAAATACTTAATGTTTTTTAACAACACACTCCTTAAACTGATTGATTGATTGATTGATTGATTGCATGCCTGCTTAATTATTAATTCTACTTTTTGATCATAGGTTTTTAACACAAGCAACACAGCTGTACGATGCATCACAGATTGCCAGCATAGGATACATCTTGTCCACTGCAATAGCAATTACTGCAGGTAAAAGAAATAAGGAAGAATAACATAAACTGGTGGCTGGAGCAGGTCAACCAATTTCTGTGGCCTGAGATGGGCTCCTAAGAAAATAATGGCTGGTGGGAGTTGCCGTCCCAAACATCTGGAGGGCACCAGGTTGGCAAAGGCTGGATTACAGCATAGCATAGTTTCACTGGGAAGGGCCATAGCTCAATGGGTAGAGCACGCAGAAGGTCCAAATTCAATCCCCAGCATCTCTAGGTAGGGCTGAGAGAGACCCCGTTGAAGCCCTGGAGATCTGCTGCCAGTGAGTGCAAACAGTACTGAGCCAGATGGATCCAAAGGTCTGACTCTGTGTATAAGGCGGCTTCCTATGTGCCACTTAGGTTCATGCCCAGAGTGTAGTTTGCATTCAGAAGCTCATTCTTGGAAAGAGATAATGTTTTATGTGACACATTCAGTATACTTTCTGAAAACAAGCCAAGGATCTCTGTCTCAAGGAACTGATTCTAAAGTTTGCCAGTAGTGAAGGGAAGGGATAAACAAGGGTAATAAGGGATGGCTGTACCAGATGCCAGGAGTGGAGGTATAACTTGGCCTTTGGCCAACTGTTGCCCTCCAGGTCTTTGGAACTACTACAACTCCCAGTTGCTTCCCATGCGTAATATAAAATGAAATAACAGATGATTAGCTTTTGTCTAGCAATTGGCAACAAATTTGTGTTTGAAGATGCTGTATGTCATGTTTCCATTTCCCCCTGCCTCCTGGGTCAGGTGCAACCTTCTACATGGACTTCATTGGAGAAGACATACTTCATATATGCATGTTTGCCTTGGGGTAAGTTTACGGTATTGATTTAGGGGTAGTGCAGTGTGCTATTATTTTGGGAACTTTTGCTTCATCATTTCATTTCACATAATCTGGGCGGGGCAGACGGGAATTCCCAATTCTTAGCACCTCATAGACTTAGTAGCTGCCTTAGTCCAGACTTTGCTGTCCTGGTGCCCTCCAGACCTTTTGGACTACAACCCCAGCTATCACACATGTTATGTGACATTATTAAAGACCAGCAGGTTGTCAGTTCTCACGATCCAGAGAGAGTTTTCTTTTATGAGCAGTCTCTCTCTCTCCCTCTCAAGGCAGAAGGGACTTCTCTTTCTCTCTATTACCTCCTGACCCAAACCGTTCTGTCCCGTCTTGCCAGATATTATAGGCCAAGAAAGGCAGGCAAGCAGGTGGTAAGCCACATTTCTCCCTGCACTTTGTCTCCATCCTGAGCAGGCAGGCCTTGGCATTAATAATAATAATAATAATAATAATAATAATTTGTTATTTGTACCCCGCCCATCTGGCTGGGTTTCCCCAGCCACTCTGGGCGGCTTCCATAGAAACCAAAAAACACTAAAATATCATACATTAAAAACTTTCCTGAACAGGGCTGCCTTAAAAACTTCCCTGAACAGGGCTGTCTTCTGAATGTCAGGTAGTTGTTTATCGTTTTGACATCTGATGGGAGGGCGTTCCACAGGGTGGGCGCCACTACCGAAAAGGCCCTCTGCCTGGTTCCCTGTAGCTTTGCTTCTCGCAATGAGGGAACCGCCAGAAGGCCCTCGGCGCTGGACCTCAGCGTCCGGGCAGAACGATGGGGGTGGAGACGCTCCTTCAGGTATACTGGGCCGAGGCCGTTTAGGGCTTTAAAGGTCAACACCAACACTTTGAATTGTGCTCGGAAACGTACTGGGAGCCAATGTAGGTCTTTCAAGACCGGTGTTATGTGGTCTCGGCGGCCGCCCCCAGTCACCAGTCTAGCTGCCGCATTCTGGATTAGCTGTAGTTTCCGAGTCACCTTCAAAGGTAGCCCCAAGTAGAGCGCATTGCAGTAGTCCAAGCGGGAGATAACTAGAGCATGCACCACTCTGGCGAGACAATCCGCGAGCAGGTAGGGTCTCAGCCTGCGTACCAGGTGGAGTTGGTAGACAGCTGCCCTGGATACAGAATTGACCTGCGCCTCCATGGACAGCTGTGAGTCCAAAATGACTCCCAGGCTATGCACCTGGTCCTTCAGGGGCACAGTTACCCTATTCAGGACCAGGGAGTCCTCCACACCAGCCTGCCCCCTGTCCCCCAAAAACAGTACTTCTGTCTTGTCAGGATTCAACTTCAATCCATTAGCTGCCATCCATCCTCCAACCGCCTCCAGGCACTCACACAGGACCTTCACCGCCTTCACTGGTTCTGATTTGAAAGAGAGGTAGAGCTGGGTGTCATCTGCATATTGATGGACACCCAGTCCAAACCCCCTGATGATCTCCCCCAGCGGCTTCATATAGATGTTAGAAAGCATGGGGGAGAGGACGAAACCCTGAGGCACCCCACAAGTGAGGGCCCAAGGGTCTGAACACTCATCCCCCACCACCACTTTCTGAACATGGCCCAGGAGGAAGGAGCGAAACCACTGTATAACTAATCCTGAAAAGAAACCTGAGTTAATGGTGCTCTGGGCTCCTTTCATTAGTTCTGCCATAGACAAAGTGGTGTCCCAGTTGCTATGTATACAAGCAATTTTATGGTGGTGGTGGTTAAGATTTTTATTTTTATTTTTACCCCACCCATTCTCCCAAAGTTGCCCAGGGCAGCAAACAATAAAGTAGTAATACAATTTAAAACAAAGTGAAAACATTTTAAAATATCAAGATCGAAAAACGTTTAAAAACAGTAACATATAGCCAATGATTGTACAGTTTCGTCCTCAAAGCAGGCTGCAGAATTACAATCTTGTTGCAGGAACTCGTTTTATTTTGTGCAGTCATGTCTACAAATAGCGCTTGCATAGCACAATGTTATACCAGTGAGCTCTTTTCTAGAACTGTTTACAGTATTGCTTTGCCTCATGAACTGCATTGGTCAGTAGGAAAACAGCTTTTTCAGCCTTTTTAAGAAATAACCGGCTAACATGAGATCAAGTTGTTGTTTAAATTCCTTTGCTGTCAGCTTCTTTGCTCCTTCTGTTATTTCACAAAGCAATTGTATTCTCTTATTCCCCCCCACCCCCTACCCAGGTGCCTCATTGCATTTTTAGGCGTCTTCTTGATCACTAGAAACAAGAGGAAATCAATCTTTTTCGAACCGTACATCTCCATGGATGCTATGCCAAGTAAGGCCAAAAAAATAATAATAATTCTTTCTTTTCATGAGCAAGTTAATAATTACACATTTTTCAAAATGTCATCTGCCTGTCTGGCCCCAGCTGCATTACATATTTAAAGCTGTATTCTATCACTTTCAATAGCCATGGCTTCCCTTCAAAAATCCCCCGAACTGGTTTTATTGGGCCTGTTTTCTGGACAATTATCAATCAATCATTTTACTTGTATGCCGCCTTTCCAAAGTTAAAGTTATGCTTGAGTCGGCTTACAACATATTAAAAAATTGCATAACTACAAACATAACAAAAGTAGTCAAACAATGTGCAAAACATCAAAAAGAACACAACCAGACTGAACAATTTCCACATAAATCATACGGTCAAAAATAAAGATAGAGAAAAAAGCAACAACAGCAACAGCCCCCAAACAATACCCTCTCCCCCAAATAATACCCCAGTCCAATACAGTGGTACCTCGGGTTACAGACGCTTCAGGTTGCATGTTTTCGGGTTGCGCACCATGCCGAACCCGGAAGTACTGGAACAGGTTATTCCTGGTTTCGGTGCTTGCGCATGCACAGAAGCTCTAAATTGCTCTTTGCGCATGTGCAGAAGCGCCAAATTGCGACCTGCACGTGTGCAGATGCGACGCTGCGGGTTGCGAACGTGCCTCCCGCACGGATCACATTCGCAACCCGAGGTTCCACTTTATTCTATTCAGCAGTCTCAGCTTTTGTAGCTGGAGTCAGCCAGCCAGCCAGCCAGAGCCTTGCCCTCTCTCTCCTAATGGTGTCCCTCTTGGTGGTGGCTGAGCCATCCAATTTGCCTAGAATAGGTCTGAGTAACCTGTGGTTCTCCATTTGCTGTGGACTCTTAACTCCCATCAGCCCCACCAGCATGGCCAGTGGTCAGGGATGATGGGAGTTGGAGTCCAACATCATCTTGGCCGGCCGCAGCTCAGGCACCCCTGGCCTAGGAAGAGGGTTTTCAGTTTTCAGTTTTTTTGTGGTCTTGACATTTACTTATTACTTATTAAGTAACAACTTACGATAAATATTGCTTAAAGAGAGGAATATGTGCTTATTTTAATCTTTCACAATTCTTTATAAGTACTTTGCCAACTGCCTCTGACTCTTTATGTTTTAAAGCAAAGTTTCCTCCTTAACCTCTCTGGTGTCCCTTGACATAAGTAACAGCCATAGAATGATTATGGAGACACTTGTAGGGAGTTGCCTCACATAAATCAGGGATTGAGAAGCTTTGGCCCTTCAGATGTTACTGAACTCCAGCTCCCATCATCCCCAACTACCATGGCCAAAAATCAATGGATGGTGGGAATTCTAGCCCAATAATATCTGGAGAATCACGGGTTCCCCAACCCTTCTGTAAATAAAGCCCTTTATTTATTATTTAGTGTCTTACTATGCAAAAGATCCCAAGTTCAATTCCTGTCAGTTGCCAAGTGAAAAGGACCTTGGGTGGTAAGGCTGGAAAAGACGCCAACCTGAGGTCCTAGACAGCCGCTGCTGGTCAGAGGATGTAGCACTAGGCTTGACAGATCAGTGTTCTGATTTAATATAAAGCAGCTTCGTATGATTATGTGCATAAGTGGGAAAGAGAGCAGTTTATAGTCCCTCACCCCCTCAAAAAAAAGCCCCTTTCAAATGAAATATTTTCCCTCCCCTTCTTGTCTCTAGGCATGCAGAATTTGCATGACAACGGAACAGCAGTTCAGCCTGAGCTCAAAACGTCATTTTCCTATGGTGCCCTGGAGAACAACGACGCCATCTCTGAGATCTACGCACCTGCTACGTTGCCGATAGTGCAGGAGGAACATGGTTCGAGGGGGTCATCTGTGCCTCCCTACCGGGTCATGGAGCATGACAAAAGGGAGTGAAAGCCCTTGTAAGGGACTGGCATAATGCCTCCAAAGTGTGGTCCTCTTATTTATTCATCCCTTCTTCTTTTTAAGCACCGCTAAGTCAACAACAAAAAAAGTCAGTTTATTTATGGATTAAGTGTGTATGGAATGACAACTTTAAAAACTGAACTGTACTTAAGGGTCCCCTACCCGTGTAATATGAAAGCTAAGTTGATTGTTGCAGGACGCAAGCAGCTGCATCGGCCTCGCTAAGCTAAACTGTAACAGGATGTATAGCTATGTCAAAAGGAACTCAGGATATTCTGATGGCTATAATATTGCTGGTCAAACAGCAGGAACTAAAGGGTGAGTTTAGACTGTTTTCCTGATAAAATTCCCTTTATGATCACATAACATGACTCCGTATGTGAGTTGTACGGGTCTCAAGCAGAGCTTTGGGTTTGTGCGCCTTCCCCACCACATATGGATGGTTGTATCCAGCTTAAGTTTTACTCAGCATGGACTCATTGAACTTAATAGACCAAAGTTGTCCATTTATTTCAGTTCCTCCGCTCTGAGTATCACTAGCATTGGATACAACCCAGAATATTTTTAATATGAACCAAAGCTTACACATGTCAATTCCTGTTTTAATTAGACCTGCTCATGCTACCTGCCTGCTGCCTTGTACCTTAAGGAGAAAACTAGCCAAACATTTGACAATGTCAGATAAGATTGAGAGTCCCAAAAACAACGGCCCACAAACACACAGCATGCAACTGGCTTTCTGCTATTTATCTTGCAGGACAGCAATTTAGACCTTCCCTACAAATGTATAATTTCAGTTGTGTCGATTCATATTGTGGGTCAGAGATTGCATTTTGATTGCTCCCCTTGTGTGGGGGTAAGGGCTCATTCCTGCCAATAGAAAAGTTAGCTCAACGGGGAGTGGGCTGGGATGGAAAGTTGCTCATTGTGTTGCTATTGTGTACATGGTTTGTTTGCTTTTTTATTATTTGCAGAAAGTATTTACATGGGGCTTCATTCCAAAATGGCAGAAATAAAATCTAAGTACTAACTCCCCTCCTTTCCCCCCCCTCCCCTGTCCAAGTTACAGGTTGCTGTTGCTTTCTGGACCCTTCATACATCAGAGCTCCATGGCCCTTATCATGAAAAAGTTATTTGCACTTGGACCTGTGGTAATGAATAGGCCTGTGGTAATGAATGGGCTAAGTTAATTGCCACCTTAAAGAGTTATGAAAATGGATTTGTGTGTGAGTGCGTATATGAAGCACTTTAAATAAATTTGCAGAAACTCCAGGACCACACACTAACTTGGCAGTAGTTAATTCTAGATCCAGGAATGGAGAACCTGTGGTCCTCCAGATGTTGATGGACTTGAACATCAGCCTCAACCAGTGTGACCAGGGATGGTGTGAGTTTTAGACCAGCAACATCTGGAGGACCACAGGTTCTTGTCTGCTGTTCTAAATCAAGATGAGGCCTTATTAGTGATCCTTTTTGTTCCCTCCATCTTTTCCTGCACATTTATTCATGATAACTCCCCACCCCATTGTTCATCACCTGAGTTGGGATATAGTATACAACTTCCACCAATTTTAGCTTTGGAGGAGATGTATGCTGTGAATCACTGACTGAGTCAGTGACTGAGGTTGACTGTTTCTGTTGCTCATACCATAATGCTGCCTTTTAGGTTGTTGTCTGTCAACTCTGGGTCTTTTTGTGATAGGAATGCATCCAGAGGAGTAAACCAGAATGTCTTAGATGTAGGTCTGGAACCAGAAACCAGTTGGACACTTGTTTCAGCATTCAAGCAACTTCAGCAATGCTGGTTGTTTTTACCTCTCTCTGCCTTTTAGGCTGTTTTAATATATTCACTTTTAAAAATATGTGATCTGCATGAAAACAAACCCGTCACGTAAAAAGTGGTTGGTGCTAACCATGGGGTGTTTAATCTTTGCACACTTGCTTTAAACTTTTCAGTTAAGTCTGGAGGTGGGGAATCAGCTTTTTATCTGCAGCATGCTTTGCGTTTTCCATGATGCACTGTACACTTCAGGCGGAATGGCATTATTATTAGACTAATAATTCAGGGACGTAAATCTTATTGAGTAATTGGTGAATGTTGACCTGGAACCACCATCTTGGGGGAAACCCCATAATGTCTGCTTCATTCATTTATCTACTATGCAAAATGTTTTGCTCATTAAACGAGCTACGTAGCAGAGGAGGTGAGGTAGTGTAGGGGACGAATGGGCCTTTTAATTTCCTTTTTGCCTTTCCATTATAAATGAAAGAGGTTGTTTTCCAATTGTACAAGCATGCTGGAGACCTCTGTGTGATTTAACCACAAAATGACATCTGTGTTCTCAAAACTGCCTGTTCCAACCACAGGGTACTGAACCTCTGTTATTTATTGTTTGGGTTCAAGCCCCAAGCAGAAGAATATGACCCTCTCTGTTGGCTGGCTACACTTGATGCTTTTTAATGGTTTCTTAAGTGTTAATTTATTGAATAGGAACTATTTACTTTTTTTTTTTTTTTAGCTCTGGGAAGAGAGAGTGCCTTTTTAGAACAGGAAAACCTCTAAGCCAAAAATAGACATGACAGACACACACACACACACACACACACACATCCCGACACACATGTACTTAAAAGCAACTGTGGGGGCCTTCACTTTTATTTAAAGCAGTGGCCAATCAAGGATAAAAGTGTGTTTAACCCTTTCAATCCTGCACTATTGCCTGCATCTCCCCGCCTCCCCAAGCAACCACTAATAGGAACTGTAGGATAGGATTTTGAATAAAGACAACACTGCAGGGTGAAAAGGTTAGTGCACCTCTCTCCCTCGGTGCTGCTGTTCTGATCAAAAGGGTTTTTTTTTTATATTGTTGTGGAAAAATAGCCACATGTTGTATTTGAATCAGGACACAGCCTGGGGCTCCTTTATTTCAAGCATGCAAGGAGAAGCAGCCTGACACCAGAGTGTTACAAGCTGCTCTGCCCCAAGCAGAGAATCTCAAGCTTATATAGAAAAAAACAGACTAGCATGCTTCTTTATCTCATAGTACAATGTGTTTTCAAAACAAGCCCAAAACATATTCATCAACATAAGCAATACCCTTTTGGTTATAGAACAGCCTGCATGTTCTCAGAACCTCATTTTCTTTGCCAGCCCTCTCATCCTGTCACATAAACAGGTGTCTTGACCGATGTTTAGGCCTGGCCATCATGCACACCCATCACTATGCTGAAGTCTGCTTCTGGCCTGTTTGGGGGAAGGAGCAGCATCTCACTAGACCAGGTATAGGTAACCTGGCCCTCCAGATGTCGCTAAACTACAGATCCCATCAGCCCCAGCCTTCATGGCCAATGGGCAGGGATGATTATGCACTAGACCATAATTCTTTTTCATTTCCAAGTTAGGACAGTTCCCTGAAACAAAAGTTCCTTTCAAACACATCACTGGCAGCAGGGTGAAATAGTCATCTTAGAGGCTTGGGTCTTGGCAGGTTGACTTCACCTCCACTCTCTTCTGCTTAGTAAATGTTGCTTTCCACACAAAGAGATACCTCTTGTCTTTTGTCGTGGAGGCTTTTCAACCCGGGTGTGGCTTTTTCAGTGCACGTGGGGAAGCATCATATAGTTCAATGGTAGAGCATCTGTTTTGCATGCCTCACCAGGTAGGACTACGAGAGACTTCTGTCTGAAATCCTGCCAGTCAGTGTTGGCAATACTGAGCTAGATGGGCTAATGGTCTGACTCAGTCTAAGGTGGCTCCCTATATGCCAATGTAGGATGCTTCATTGCTGTAATGCTGAAAATACTAAGGCGTCTTGTGTAGTGTCACTGGAAACCAACCAATTCCATGGGTAGAATATCCATGGTCAGCAGAACACTGTATCCGTAAAAGAAGATAGATAACTTCAGCTTCTTGAGGCAAGAGGGTGACATTATTTGAAGGGCCTCTTTTGGTGCTTTGGATTTCTCCATGGTTCCAAGTTCTCAAACACAGGAGTCAGGTAGTATTTAAACCCCTATCTATGCTGGACAGCACTTTGGTCTGGTCAGCATTAGAGGTCCGGATGGTTTCCCTTGTATTCTGTCCCCCATGCCCCTGCCCCGTTTGTCTAAATGAGCAGAAGAAAGAGAAGCCCATCACACATAGCCAGACCTCTCCTTGGGCACAGCTCCAATATCCCCACTAGAGAACAGTGGCTGACTGTCAAATCCATCAATGGTGTCTACTCTTGATTAGGCAAGGAGCTTCTATTAGCTTGGATTGTTTAGGAATATCTAAGCTAGGCTTGCTGGCTGGGTCTTATAGGAGTTGCAATCTAAAACATCTGGAGGTCACCAGGTTGGGTAAGGTTGATCTACATCAGATTTTATTTTCAGGATTGTGGCTTCACTGTATAGCTCTTTTATCATTCTTAATTCTACACCATCAAATATGATGTTGGCTGGATGTACTGTCAATGTTTTCACAATAGTGCTGTGTAAATAAACTGAGCTTTATGGTACACCGAAAGTAAGACAACAGCATCTTTTGCCTTTTTTGTGTTATTAACTGTTTTTAATTATTTTATGTGTGAATCACCTTGTGACAGTGGTTTAGAATGTAGTTAATTACTTTCTTGGGCTCCATGATCACTGCAGATGGTGACAGCAGCCACGAAATTAAAAGACGCCTGCTTCTTGGGAGGAAAGCAATGACAAACCTAGACAGCATCTTAAAAAGTAGAGACATCACCTTGCCAACAAAGGTCCGTATAAGTAAAAGCTATGGTTTTCCCAGTAGTGATGTATGGAAGTGAGAGCTGGACCATAAAGAAGGCTGATCGCCAAAGAATTGATGCTTTTGAATGATGGTGCTGGAGGAGACTCTTGAGAGTCCCATGGACTGCAAGAAGATCAAACGCATCCATCCTTAAGGAAATTAGCCCTGAGTGCTCACTGGAAGGACAGATCGTGAAGCTGAGGCTCCAATACTTTGGCCACCTCATGAGAAGAGAAGACTCCCTGGAAAAGACCCTGATGTTGGGAAAGATGGAGGGCACAAGGAGAAGGGGACGACAGAGGACGAGATGGTTGGATAGTGTTTTCGAAGCTACAAGCATGAGTTCGACCAAACTGCGGGGGGCAGTGGAAGCCAGAAGTGCCTGGCGTGCTCCGGTGCATGGGGTCACGAAGAGTCGGACATGACTAAACGACTAAACAACAACAATAAATCAACTATAACAGCAGCAACATACTGCTGGTTGGGGGGGGGCGACCTCTGGAGATATCTGCATGAGGGAATTGGCAGGAATTGTTAGGCATCCCCTTTCTCTCACCACTGGCTCCTTTTGCAATTACTGCCCTTTTCATTCACAGTGTCTTGGCAACCACAGGTTTGGTAACTTTGGTAATGTGTTGTTCAGTCCTTCTAGGATGAAATTAAAATGTAATTTTAGGTTGGCGGGGGGAATGCAAGCTGAGTTGCAGCCCACGTATGTTAATAAGAAAAGGTTAATGACTTCACAAGAGGCTTGGCCTGTGCATGCTTGACAAGAGGAAACCTTTTAAATGAAAGCCTGCATAATGTCCACCTTCCTGGTCTTTGAAATAATAAAAATTTGAAGCCTTCCAACTAATATATTTATGTAATCAGGCTGATCGTTGGCTCAGCGTGCTGCCAGTGAAGCGCTTGCCAACATAATTAACACTGGCCATATGGATTTTATTCCAGGGAAGTAAACAGAAACTAGACCTGAGAACATTTTTTCATTCATTGTATCTGGGCACTGAATTACTAGTCATTGGGGGGGGGGGAGACAAAGGAAGCCATCCGTCCCTAAATAGGAGAGCACTTGGTTAATGATGGTAGAAAGCTTGATGTATATGGAAAAATACAGGGATTAAGGAAGAAATTGTTGCTGTTTGAAATAGTTCACATCTAGGCAAACATGCCATTTGAATGAATAAGAGCATGTCATTCAGAGGAATCGAGAGATGCGGCTGAGGTGCTAGACGGGTTTAGGGGCAATGATGGGCTGGATGTGAACCAGCAAACTGAAGTGGAATCCTGAAGACAGGTGTTATGTGTTTCAAGTTATCAAGTCCACAAGGTGGGAAGACAGCCTGCTCTATTTGGGGTTGCAGTCCCTTGGAGGCAGCAGTTCATTGCTTGGGGGTACCCCTAGATCCAATGCTGTTATTTGTGGTCCAGGTGGCCTCAGTGGCTAGGAGTGTCTACATCCAACTGTGGCTAGTTTGCCAGCTGCAGCCTCTTTTGGACATACCCTCCAACACCCAAATTAGGATGCTCCTTTTTTTTGTTCTGAGCTCTTGTGCATGTACAAGAGTGTGAGACCAAAAAAGAAGCAGCTTGCGCTCTGCTGCAAGCCAGCTAACTCTTGATAGTTCTTCCACCCTCAGAAGTTCAGGGTGGCGCTGGCCCAACTATCTCCCCACATAGATGTGCTTGGTACTTTTGCTATAGAGCTTTTGGCAAATGCTGAAAGCACACCTATTTACCCTGGCACTTAAGATGTTTGTTTTCAGAGTCTGCCCTATTCCTGTGACTATAATCTGTTTTACCTGTTTTTCATTCTGAATTGTTGTAACCTGCCCTGGGACACGCTGGTGGCATTATTATTTATTAATTTTTAAAACTCTGAATGTCTTGGAGCCCAAATGCTACCAATATTTGCCAACTTTTGTACAGGGAACATCTGAAAATGAAATAAGTGAATAGTCTCTAACTTTATTATTTTCTGCCAGAATTGAAGCAATTTGCAGATATGGGTGCCCTGTCTGAGGGGATGAAGCCTGCCAAATTTCAGGATGATAAGTGCAGTGATTCTCCTGCATGAACAGGCATTACCATTTTGGAGTGGGTAAAATGGAAATCTCTTAACCTCCTCTTGTAGGCAATCAGTCTGAAAATTGGTGCCCCTGGGAAAGTAACAATAGGCTGGCAATGCACAACATAACTGAAAGCTTTATATAAGGGACAAACAGGCCAAGTTGACTGGAGGAAAGAACCAGATGAGGAGGAGGAGGAGGAGGGAATAAGATCAGCAGGGGATACCTTTCTCATGGCCCCACAAAGGAGTGTTTCCCGTTGTGTAGTGACCCAGGAAAGTGCCTTCTCTGTGGTAGCACCTAGATTGTGGAACTCCCTTCTCCCGGAGATGCATCAGTCATCTTTGGTACTAACTAACCTTTCATCTCCAACACAAGAGTCAGCCAAGCTTCTGGGAAACTTGTCTAGAGATGCTACATTTAGCAATTTTGCAGGCATGCTAGTTTTGCCAGTTTGGGTTGCTTTGAAATGTGGGTGTTGGGCAGGATTAGGTAGTGCAGCCTGCACTACTCCACCCAAGCCACTTCCTCAACACAACTGTGTGCTTGTGTGTGCAGCTATGTCGCAGGGTTACTGTGAGAAGAATGAACAAGGATAATATTTTATATGTCTGAAGAGGTGTTACTAGCTCATCCCATAGTAGCAACAGCTAAAGAAGAAGCTTGTTTGCTGCAGCAAAAATAAAGCATCCTGTAGTACCTCACTCAGAATTTATTGTTGTGTCAGTTTTTATAAGCACCAGAGCTAGTTCTCAGAGTAACCAACCAGTTGCCTGTTGCCCAAGTTCAAGAACACTCTCCCTTCCTGCAGTTTCCAGCATTGGGTATTCAGAAGGATTCTGCCTCTCGCAGTGGAGGCAGAGCATAGCCATCATGGCTAGTAACCACTGGTAGCCTTCTCTTCCATGAATTTGTCCAATCCTCTTTTAAAGCCATCAAAATTGGAGGCCTTCACTGCAGCAAAGCTGTTGCTGCCATGATGAACTCCAGCTAAGGGTGGCCAAACCAAAGGGTACTACATGTGTTATCTGGGCTAGAACACATTCTTCTGATGAAGAATGTTTTATCAATTTTATCAATTTCCATGTGTGCTGCAGAGTAGCAGCAGCAAAGCAGGAGCCATTTTCAATAAGAAATATACCTCTGGCCCACTGTACCAGTGACCTTCCTGTAGCTATGCCTGTAGTGAGGGACATTCTGTTGTTATTTATTAAATTTCTATACAGCCCTTCATCCAAGGTTCACAGGCAGCTCACAATATAAAAACACCAAAATACGTAACTTGGTAACAAATAAACCAATAGCCCTGCTCCCGCAAACACGTTTAAAAGGCCATAGAATGTCAGTTTGGCAGCCAGGTTGCTCACTAGGGCAAGACTATTTGAATATATTACACCGATCTTGGCTCAACTGCAATGGCTGCCAACGTTTCTGGGCTCAATTCAAAATGCTGGTTTTGAGCTGCATATATAAAGCCTTAAATGGCTCAGAACTGAAATACCTCAAGGACTCTGTCTCCATATGAACCTAATCCAGACACAGGATCATGGTCTGAGGCCCCTTCTTGTGCTTCCCCGACAAATCTTGGGTGGCAACAGGAGAGTGGGTCTTTTCTCTTGGCAGAAAACTTCCCTCTTCAACCAGGCCTTGGGCTAATTAACATGCAATACCCTTTTAGATGTGTTGTGTGGTGGTGGGGTTACTGGTTTGTTTTTTTGGCAGAAGGTAGGCCGCAGCTAGGAGCAGGGATACTGCACCATCCTTATTCCACTCCCTGCAACCAGAAAAGGGGGGCGGCAGGCAGTTCCTTGCTAGTTTTCATTAGGTGAAGATGCTACGGTAACACCGTGTATGTCCTTCTGTGAATTACCATTTCGAGATAATGCGCCTTGTTGTTGTTGTTTAGTCGTTTAGTCGTGTCCGACTCTTCGTGACCCCATGGACCAGAGCACGCCAGGCACTCCTGTCTTCCACTGCCTCCCGCAGTTTGGTCAAACTCATGCTGGCAGCTTCAGAACACTATCCAACCATCTCGTCCTCTGTCGTCCCCTTCTCCTTGTGCCCTCCATCTTTCCCAACATCAGGGTCTTTTCCAGGGAGTCTTCTCTTCTCATGAGGTGGCCAAAGTATTGGAGCCTCAGCTTCATGATCTGTCCTTCCAGTGACCACTCAGGGCTGATTAGCGCCATTAAGTGTAAGTGAAAAATGGACGTGTGAAAGTGGGTCTCATGTTGTGCATTGGGAGTCGGGAGGCAGGTCTCTACTCCGGACCAGTTGAACCCCGCTGAGGTATACTCTCCTCCACTCCACCTCCTTCACTGAGGGGAAGGAAGAAAGAGTTGCTGAAGGGGAAATAAAATCCCGCCTTTTCTGCTCCACCCCGTGACCTAGTCTACCAACCACAGAGAAGACTGGGGGGGGGGTCCCTCATAAGGAGGGGGGGAATAAACGCGCGTCTCCCACCCGTTCCTTCCTTCCCCTCCCGTGCCCTCAACTTCTCCTCTATCCGGGTCACTCACTCAAGTAAAGTGGGAGAGAGAGACGCGCATGCCCGAGAAGAAAACTGGTAAGCGCGGCCTCGAGAGCTGCGCACGGGCGCGGCGGCGCGCTCTCTGTCGGAGGAAGAGCAGCAGCAGCAGCAGCAGCATCGAAGAGGGAGGGGCTCTCTGGTCTCTTTCCGAGGCGCTGCCGATCCGCAGGCTGGTCGTGCCTGGCTGGCCCTGAGCTCGCCTTCCTCTTTGGCTGGGCGGGGCGGAGGGGCGCCTGAGAGGAGCAGGGAGGCGCCGGTGGCCGCGGCTCTGATCCCGACGCGGAGGAGACGGTGAGTGAGGACGGAGGGAACCCGGGAGCCCATTCTGCCCTCGCTTTTGCCCTTTCCCCCTTGCCATAAGCTCCCCGCCCCCCATGCCGGGTGTGGCTTCCTTGTCCTTCGCTGCCCTCGCCACGCTTGGTCTGAGGGGAGTCGTTGCCGCCCTCCTCTCGCCTGCTTCCCCTGCATCCAACCCCGGTGCCCTGCTCTCCTTTCTTACCCTCTATTGTCCAGGAATGCCTCCCCCGATTATTGCAAACTAGCCCCCTCCCCGTGCCCCATTTCTGTGGACCCTCTTCCTCCCCCCCCACCTCGACCGGTCCTTATCGACCCCTGTGAGCGGTTCGTTGTCAACATCGTTTCTTCGTCGTCCTCTTTTATTTTTTAATTTAATGCGCGCCCCGTCACGCAGTTGGAACCTCCATGGACAGGGGCAGTGTATCTTTCACTACTACATGGTGGGGGCAGCCGACAGGGAGGAGGAGGCTGCTATCTCCTGCTTTCATGCCCTGCTTGTGGGTTTTCCCGAAGGCACCTCTCTTGGTCACTGATGGAAACAGGAAGCTGGAATAGGTGGACATCTGATGTGGTCCATCTTAGCAAGGGAGTCTTCTTATTACCATCACCTGCTCAAGAGACTGTTGTGTCTGTCTTCCTTCTCTGCTTCCTGCTCAACCTCGGAAGGGCATTGTGTCCTAAGCCCTTCTTTTTGTCAATTCTTAGTACCTCTTCCCAGTGCTGCTGCTGGCTCCCTTTTCTGCCCCCTTCATATCGAACCCCTTGAATCCTCTACTATTCCATTCCAGAGGAGATGTTGGCCTGCCCCTGACTGCCCCCAGCCCCCACCTATGTGGCCAGCTGTGCCCTTCTGCCACCCCCCAACTCAGGAATCTATGGTCACCACCCATTTTTTTCCTTTTGCTGTCTGCAAGGGGGTGATGCCTTCATCTATTCCCTACTGTTGCCTCTCAACAGCACCTGCCTCTGTCTGCTCCCCCTTACTGCCTCCTATAAATATGTTACCAATGCTCCCCTTCGCCAGCTCCAGAACCGATTATTTTTCTTCCTCATTTTTCTACTCTGCGTTGGCCTTGCTCCTTTTTAATGTGCGTTTTCTGGCCTTACTTCTCCCAGGCATTTCTTATCCTGCTTATTTTCCCTGCTTCTAAAGCAACTTGTTGCCTTGCGTGTTTGCACACATCTATTATTCCTGTGCCCCCATCTCTTCTCACCAACCTTTCTGTTACATGTGCATCATTGCTGCTCTTTATTGCTTCTTTCTGCCCTTCTCCATTGCTAAGCCAGTCATTCCTTTCTTCCAGTTGTCCATCTTTTCATTTTTTTATTGTGCTCTTTACACCATTTAGACCTGCCTTATTGATACTTCATTTACCACTGGTCACTCTTATCGATGTTTCTTGTTGGCTTAGCCCTTATTTCTTGTACTTTCTCCTCTGTTCCATAAAGGCACTATGTGTGCCTCCGGTGTGATGGGAAACTGGTTTCTCCATCACATGAATGAGCCAGGGCAAGTATTGGGTTTACCCACTCCCCTCTCCTGTTTGTGTGCTAGAAGAGGATATTAGAAGCATCTGTGGCCAGTTTTAAACTCGCTCTGATGCCCTGTGGTGTCCAGTCTCAGGGCTCATCCACACTAATTTTCCTCCATACTTTCTAGGCACAGGTCCACGTTTTTCCAGTCTGTGTCTGAGCACATTTTTTTTTGCCCCACCACTTCCCCTGCAAAAACCTGCTCTTTAATGTTCTCTGCAATCCGTAGAAAACCCTAATTGCTGTTTGTTCCAATTCAGCATTAAAGAGCGGGTTTTCCTGGGGAAAGTGGTGGGGCAAAATAAAAACCCAAAAAAACCCCCAAACCACCACACTCAGACAAAGACCAGTAAAGGACAGGGCAGATGGTAGGTGTGGATGAGCCCTCAGACTTGTGGCTTGTTTAGTGACATCAAGCCAGGATCATATTGTGGTTCCAGATTGTTGCTTGTTCTGAAACCATAGTTAAAGCAAACCACAGTTTTAAACTGGCAGCAGATATTTCTAATTTCTTTCTGGTATTCTCATTGCTGCTTGTTCATAGACTGAGAAACCAAGGTTCCCCATTACTTCTGATAGAATGATAATTCACTCTCCTCATCCAAAGAGGAGGAGGAAGAGGTGGTGGTGGTGGTAATGGATGGGGTGGGGAGAATAATGTTTCCATTAGGGAAGAGGTGGAGTTCTTGACTTGTTTCAATTAGAATGTATAATTTCCTCATTGATTGGTGCAGATGGGTTTGTCAGCACAACCAAGTATGTCATAGGCACAGGCACAAAGGTTAAAGGAACCCGTGGGTTCATTCTCTGTGTCCTCCATGTGGATCCAAAAGGTAAATGTTTGCCTTAAAGTGGAAATGGAAAATAATCTTTAACATCAAGCTACTTGCATTCATATACCTACGTATCTGTCCTTTGCAGTTTGGGTAAGCTTGCATTTTGTAGCATAGGAATTAACTTTGGAAATATTTTTCTATTTTTCTGCTTCATCAGTTTACAGATTTCGCCTTCCCAAGTCATGAACATCAGAGTTTTAAGCGGTGGTAGATTAAAAGCAGAATTCTCTGCCATGTGATTTGGAAATATGCCCTACTGTGTTCAGAGGGGATTGTTCCTATGTGTTTAGGATTGCAGCCTAAGTTTCAAACCGCTTCAGGTAGTAAGTGTTTGCCTTCATCCCCACCATTATTTTTTATAAAATCCTCTTTTTGCTTTAATTCTAGCAATGCAAATAAAAGGTGCTCAGTAAAAATGTTTGACAATTTATTTTCTTACCCTAAAAATACTTTTTCTGTTCTTTTCTGTCAGCATCTTCTGTAGAACAACATTCAGTTTTACAAATTTCCTTATGTAAAACATACATTCTTCAGAGAAATGGTACACTGTAGTGTTACAGAAGGAAATAAGTATAATTTTACCACATTACATCATAGATTATGAAAACTCACATGCTCATGCGTTATTTGGGTAAAAAATGTTTTGCCTTTTCTAGAAGACCATTTTAGCTTAAATTTAAATGTGGACATGTGCTCGGTTTTCTCAGTCAAAGATTTAAATTGTTTTTCTGTGAAATTTTAAAATAAATAATAGAATGAATATCTTTCCATATAAGCCTAAGAACAACTCCTTAAAGCTCCTCTTTCTTTGTTGTTGATATTATTTTTTATTGTTTTTCCAAGAAGTGTCCCAAAACAACTTGCAAACTGATACAATCATTAAAACCAAGTATAAAAACCAGAATAAAATGTAAAACACACACACAGGCAGGTATAACTCAACCCACTCTACCAAAAGATGAGTAAGAAAGTGGCCACAAATCATGTTATAATGATAGTCGTAGGCTGCTAAATAATAAGGGATATTAAATACCGCAGCAATGCTATATGTTTGCTTTCAGTGCTTGAATACACACACACAGGTTCTGTGTGCCTTTTTACTTTTAAAATCTCTCTACTGAGAAATAGTAAATCAGGTCATTAAGCAAAACTTTTGTATTTCATACATGGTTTTGATTTTTAAAACTTAAAAGTACAATGGACCATTTAATTTCAAAACTCCTATGTGTATATTATTATTTTTTCTGTTGATGCAGTTTCACACAGTTTTCACAACCAGTCCTCAACTCAAAGCAGTTCTCAAAGCAGTTCCATCAGTTTTTAGTTCTTCAGTGCAAAAAGATTACAGGCAATCTTTAAATGCATAAAATTCCAACCTCTTGATTCAATCTATTAGTCATTTTGTTATATTATAAGAACAAAAAGTTCATGAGCCAATTTGTACCCAGTCATGGGTTGTGGTTCTCTTTAAGAACCTTGCAATTGTCAGTCTATTGTTATCTGTTTGTAAATGGAAAAACTGAAACAGAGGTCATTTAAGGTTACTTATGTCATCTCAGTTCAGCAGCCCATAAAGCTTGAAGCTAGTGTTCTGTACTGTAGCTGTAACCTCCTTTTCATCGGATAACACGATGTATTTTGCTGCATTGTAGATTTCTTCGTAGATCAGCATTTCTTTCTGTTGAAGGTCTTTTTACTAAAAATGTCACTTTGCAATCCTCCTTGTAAAGACAGAGTGTTTACAGAAAGCAGAAAATGCTGCTCTTTAATCGTAGCCTGATCCTTTAAGCAAATTGTTTCAGTTTGTGTTCCCTTCTTCATCAGTGCCCCTCCCTTCTCAGTTTAAGGAAGATGCAATGCTGAATTGGGTTTCTAGAATTCTGTACTAAATTTCTCAGTTAACAGTTGGACCACCCCCACCCAAACATTATGTGTTTAACATAAAAAAAAAATATGCAGTAAATATTTTGGCTGCGGAGTCCTGCTTCTTGAGCACCAAATGTTCATGCAAAGTTAGCCTCTAAGCAGAAAGAACGCCAAGATTTTTTTAAAAAAAAACCTACTGTAGTTAAATGGTATATAATTGGTTTAAATATAATGGTTTAAAGAAAGTTCCTCATTGCTCTGCTTTCCTACTCATCTTCCAAACTGAAATGTTTGGGACTTGACTTATGAATTCACCTGTCTACGGAATGATGATACTGCTACTTATTTCTGTTCTCTCTTACAAACAATGTAGTGTCCTGTATCATTCCTGAAACTTTTATTGACTGACTAAAGTAATGGCCATCTAATATTTTTAACCTAAGGCTGTTTCCAACCATTATAATATACTCTGGTACTTCGGTTTACGAACTTAATCCGTTCCTGAAGTCCATTCTTAAACCAAAACCGTTCTTAAACCAAGACGCGCTTTCCCTAATGAGGCTTCCCGCCGCTGGTGCCCTTCTACCATTCAGTTTCCGTCTGTAGCCCAAGGTAAAGTTCACAAACCGGAACACTACTTCCGGTTTTGCGGAGTTCATAAACCAAATCGTTCATAAACAGGAGTGTTCTTAAACCAAGGTTTATGTATATAACTGAATATTTCTGATACTTTTCTCCTCCTACCCCACACTGCTCTATCTTAGATATTTGGCACATTTTGGGCATATTGCTGCCCAAAAGCTGCTGATTTCATAGATATATAGTTATTTTGATTTGATTTACTATTCCCCCCCCCTAATATATGTATTCCTGCACTGTGGGTGAATTACTTCATATAGTTCTTTCCCCCATGCACAAACCAAGCCCCCACAATCTCTGCTGGAAGCCATGTGTCGCAACAGGGTTGAGTGAGGGATTAAATTGCATGCTATGCCTTGTTCTCATTTCAGTCTGATATATATCGTGTAGACGTGCCCCAGCTACAATGTAGCTAACTTACTGTTGTGATTCAGGGAAGGCCACAGGAGTTTGAAATATATTTTCTTTTCCTTGCTGTGTCCTGTGTTCTTTTTGCTTCAGGACCAGTTATTAGAGTACTGATGATATTGTGGTATGGCACCTTGAGAATGTGACAAGGACGGGGGAGCAGAGAAGTCCCTACTTTTTAAGTGTTTTCAAGCTTAACTGTGGAACTCCACTGAATTATTGATTTGTATATGTATGGGTTTTTTTAGGGACGCGGGTGGCGCTGTGGGTAAAACCTCAGCGCCTAGGACTTGCCGATCGCATGGTCGGCGGTTCAAATCCCCGCGGCGGGTGCGCTCCTGTCATTCAGTCCCAGCGCCTGCCAACCTAGCAGTTCGAAAGCACCTCCAGGTGCAAGTAGATAAATAGGGACCGCTGACCAGCGGGAAGGTAAACAGCGTTCCGTGTGCTGCGCTGGCTCGCCAGATGCAGCTTGTCACGCTGGCCACGTGACCCGGAAGTGTCTGCGGACAGCGCTGGCTCCCGGCCTATAGAGTGAGATGAGCGCACAACCCTAGAGTCTGGCAAGACTGGCCCGTACGGGCAGGGGTACCTTTACCTTTACCTTTATATGTATGTTTTATGAAGCATATATCTTCATTTTGTAATTCTAGAGAATATCCAGCTGGCTGATATAATTTGGACAATACTTTAAAATGTACATTGTTGACTGTTAATGCACACCGGCAGAAATATTGATTAAGTCAATATATTTCTAAATATTTAATTATTTTCCTAAACATTGTTTCCTTGGAAATTGAAACCAGCAGAATATTATTGAAAGCTATTCGCACGGCTTCCACAAACACCATTTATTAAGCTGATAGTACCAAACACATTTTGAATAACTTTCATTGTTAAACACACCAATAGTAAGTACTTCTGTAAAGTTTTTTACAGTTTGTAATGTTCAGAGGGGTCCGCAATTTTGGCCTGGCCTGGGCCTTGCTAGCCAAGACTCTAGGACCAGATTTGCCCCTACACATCAGTGCCCTGCCAGCTTTTCCTGAAGGCTTACTGATTTCGCTGTTCCAAATGAGATATGCCATGTGCCTCATTAACAAAGCAACTAAACAACTTCCAGCCTCTCCAGTTCTCTCCTCTGATTGTTTGTAAGAAGTAAAAACTTCTTTGTTCAGTAGCACTTATTTCCAAATCAGATTGCAGCCTCAGCATACTAATAAGTAATCTTGTTTAGCATCCTAGGTTTCTTCACTGACTAGTATATGTCATCAAGATCTATGAGGCTCAGCTCTGGCTGCAAACTTTGGAGGGACCAAGGTACAGGGTGTTCACAGTGGTAGCTCTGTTTCTGTGGAACTTGCTTACTGGAAAAACTTGTCATTGCTCCTCCTTGATGTCCTTTTAGAGACAGAACAAATAAATGTCATTCAGCTGTTTGTGAGTGCTATTTTGGCCACTCTAGTGATAAAGCTTCATACAAAACTATATTTTATCAGTCATCTGAATAGATAGAAACACAATTGTAGAGTTGGAAAGGGATCCTAAGGGTCATCCTAGTCCAACCCCCTGCAATTTAGAAATCTCAAATAAATGAAAAGTTCTCACACTTGAAAGAATGGTCTCAGGTGTTTTTTAAAAAACTACCTTCCCATAGATCTTTTTCCTGCACATGATAACTAAACATTAAAACTTCAAATAAAACAGTACCGTACAATTCTCTTGTTTTCTCTTTAGGCAGACTCCTGCTTCAAGTCTGGAATACAAATTAAGGAAGATTGCTTTGAGTGGACAATGATTAGAGATACAATGAAGGCGTGGAGTGACAGTCAGTCAGATCTTTACAGCAGTGACCTAGAAGAAGAGGAAGAAATGATTTTTGGAGAAAATGAAGAAGACTTGGAAGAGATGATGGATTTAAGTGACCTGCCTACCTCACTCTTCGCCTGTAGTGTTCATGAAGCAGTGTTTGAAGTTCAAGAGCAAAAGGTAAGACATGGACCAAACTAGTGTTGATCTATTAAAATGCCTGTGAAAAAGTGTGTCTTTATATCTTACACTGGTAACTTATCTGATACAGGCAACTTTAAGTTCACATGACCCAAATACACATATGATATTGCTTTGTTTTTTATGAGGGGCCAGATAAGAATAGATTATGCAGAAAGGGAAGTGAATGGGAAATGTTCGGTATTGTACTGAGCTTTTCTTTAGTTCCAGACAGTAGTCTGGAAGAATCTTTTACAGCTTGGATGTTCAACTGGTGGGTCTGTATTGGCACCCACTATTGAGTTACAACAGTAACACTACCACCCAAAAAATAATATGGAAAAAAATAAGAAGTAGATCCTCAAATGCATGGTGTTTTGAGTAAGGTAAAGGTAAAGGTACCCCTGCCCGTACGGGCCAGTCTTGACAGACTCTAGGGTTGTGCGCCCATCTCACTCAAGAGGCCGGGGGCCAGCGCTGTCCGGAGACACTTCCGGGTCACGTGGCCAGCGTGACAAAGCTGCATCTGGCGAGCCAGCGCAGCACACGGAACGCCGTTTACCTTCCCGCTGGTAAGCGGTCCCTATTTATCTACTTGCACCCGAGGGTGCTTTCGAACTGCTAGGTTGGCAGGTGCTGGGACCGAGCAACAGGAGCGCACCCCGCCGCGGGGATTCGAACCGCCGACCTTTCGATCAGCAAGCCCTAGGCGCTGAGGCTTTTACCCACAGCGCCACCCGCGTCCCTGGTGTTTTGAGTACTACTTATTAAATCAGCCATGTGCATAAGAGTGGTTTGGCCTGTCATATCTTGTTTTATGGGCACACATACAGTCCCTTTGCTCCTCCCTAAGATATGATAAACATTTCCCAGGTTAAACAGAGAAGCTCCTTCTTATATTAAGCGCATCTTGTATGAATGCACATGTAGAATTTCCCTCTTCATTTCAATGGAGAGGACAACATGTACCAGGTATGGATACTTGTAAACAAACCCACTCTTGCAGAAGCTCCATGTGCTTTTTAGATTACCTCAAAATTTTCATCTAACTTGCCCATACTTTTGCATTAACTACTTGTTTAGAAAGCAAAGATTGTGATTGCTATGTAAATCAAGAAACAGAGTTGGTATTGCTTACAGTAAAGAGCAGCAGTTGTATGGTTTATGCATTGCAATCCTTGCTGCAGTTGTTGAGATTTGGGCCAGTGTAAACATTCATAGGATTGCAACCTTAAGCACGGGAAGGCCAGCTTGTTCTGCAAACAATTTTTGAGGTATCCAACATTTCAAGCCTCATAAATATCCCCACAGAATTTTAATAGCTTGCTGAGGGCTGGCAGAGCCTATTTCATTACCGTGCTGGGCACAAAGGGAGGCTGGAGCTCTCCACATACACACCCTTAGCCAGCTCACTCACCTGCATGAAGTACCTTGTTGCCTATAGCAAGGCTGCACATTTCTTTCTGAAGAAAACCAAGGCAGATAATGAAAATATCAAAGCTGCTGAATTAGTCACACACCAGGCTTTAGAATATGCCTTGGAACTTAGATTAGCTTCTATAGCATTTTAGAATGGCTCTCTCTGGGTCACTTTAAGTTCCTATAATTTTGGAGGAATAGAATGCTTTGAAGAAACAGGTTTTGTATAAGCAAATAGACCTCTTCCAGGAGTGTGAATGCTGTAATTGAGATCTGATCCTGAAGTTCTCAAAATCATTTAAATATTGAACTGCTTTTTAAATTCTTCTCCCTCTCTGTCATCTTTATTTAAAACAAACAGATATTTATTCATGTAGAGGGAGTAAAACACTATTATTACTTTTCATTGTCATGGCAGTCATAGAGTAAGGTAGATCATGCGTAAGCAGGCATGTTTCCATGACAGCTCTGTGCAAGGCTGAATGTGTTCCTGGATTAATATAGATTTACATTTTTATAATATGTGTTGCTGACAAAACATGGGTTTTTTCTGCTGTTGTGTGAAATACTGGATTTTAGATAAGCTTTGTGTGCTACAGATCTCTCATGTGGGTTTTTTTAAAGGGAATAAAGACTTGCCATTTAGTGTCTTCTTTTTTATAGTCTGTTTAAAATGCCATTCATCACAATTTAAATAGCCTTAATACTGTTCCCTAGAGTTGGGCTAATCTTTCATCTATTTCAAACAGAATATCTTAAAATTGCAAACATACAATAAAATTGAGTGTAACAGTTGTTGGGTAAGTATTTGTAAACGTCTAGACTCTGGAATCAAAGTTTTAAAAGCCCATGCAGCCTGCTTCCTATTCCCTACCTCTTTTCCCCCACGGGCTGTAATTTAGGTTGACCAGAATTCCATCAGCTGGTAGGTGTTAGTTGGGTTCAGACACACTATTTCCATTCCAACAAACTATCCTTTTTTGCAAAAGTAATGAACATGTGATCCCACTCCCCCCCCCCCCAAAAAAATATTTTCCTTCTGTCCTCATGTTTGTAAGGAGTGTTTAAACCACAGTTTCTCTGTTGGGACATCACAAATTAACTAGGGAAACTGATTAAAAAATCAGTTAGTATCTGCAGCTGGGCATTCAAGAAGGGAGAAGGGAGCTTGTTGCTTGTTCCTGCTCCAAAAAACCATAGTTTCTTGGAACTGAAATGTAGCTTCTGCAGCTGGCTGATATTTGTGGTGCCCAAAAAAAGCTTTTAAGCAGAATGGCAAGTCTACAATTTCACTGACTAAAACTGTTCATAATATGGTTCAGATACAAATCAGGCTGAATTATATTGTTCTGAATTACATTTTCCAGTCTTGTGTTTCAGATTTCTTTTTTTGCAGTTGACAGAGGAGCTAACATGACCTTGAATGTTGAATAAACACCAGTTTTTCTTAATTTCTGATATAGCAGGAGTTAGTTGTAACATTTGATCAGCATTCAGTTTTGCTGAAATAATGTTAGCTACTAATATTCACCTCTGTTTATGGAGATGTTTCCATAACACCATTCAGTCTTATGCACAGTCTTATATTGCAGTCTTCTTTTATTATTCACACTTACCTGGGACATACTTATGGGTGGACATGCATAAGATTACACTATGAGAAATTTAAACCTGACAGTTTCAGATACCAGATTAAATATGGTAGTATTAAAGAATACAAAAGGAGTAGTTTTGGTGAATGCTGACACACACACCCCATGTTAGAAAGGAAATATAATCTGCTGAGGAGAAGAAGAAATAGTTAAGTCTAGCATGGGAGGTATTTTTCCTCTGTTTGAGGCTCTTGGAGGCATTAAAAGATTAGGAAAGGAATCCAGTAGGGAAGATATACTATGCATCCTATCTAAATGAATAAGAGCTCTCTAGAGCAGTGTTTCCCAACCTTGTGCCTCCAGCTGTTTTTGGACTACAATTCCCATCATAGAGTGAGAGATAAGCATCAGAAAGGTGACATTCGAAACTCCAGTGGGGTGGGGTGGGGTTTGAATGCTTATAATTTCAGGGTCAGATGTTTTAGGATTAGTGTTTATTGATTTATTAATTTCATAAAATTCCTTGGTTGGAAAACAAACAGCAGTTTATAAAAAGGGAGAGGACTCTCAAACCATAGGGCCATGGGAACAAGCCTGGGTGGGAGTATCCGTGTGTTTTTCAGTAGCAGGCAGCATGGTTGGGTGGTGGGAGTTGCCTCGCCTGACAGCTGAGTCATTTCTGCCTCCTGCAGTGCAGCAGGGAGGTTGGTGTGGGGCAAATGTACCAGTGTTCCTGCCAGTACATTTGAACCATGACCACTTTCCTTCTGTCTTGCCATTCTTCTTCCCAGAAAGCAGTGGCAACTCAGCTGCCAGGAGATCAGGTGAGTGCCACACCCCAACCATGTTATTAGCTACTGTTTGAAGAAGGAGAAAAAGAGAAACTGGTCCTATCATCAAACTTAAAAACTAAAAAAAAAAAATGGACACAAGGAAAGGGGAATTGAGAGTAGGTCATGTGCAGAGATTAACACTTATCTACTTTTATTTGTTGTATATACAGTGTTGTAAACACGGAGCATCTGGGATTGAGCAGAATAAAAAGCTGAAAATATTTATTGAACCATTGTTGCTGAAAATGTGCTGTGCAGCTATTGGGTGTGTTGTGTAGCTAAACCCACACCACCTTCTGAAACTATTTTTTCTTATGTTTGTCCTGCTTATTTTGAACACCCTTTGATTTTTAAATTTGAGGGAAATATATATTTAAGCAGGTTACAGAAGTTCCAACCTGTGGGTGGATAGGTCTTGTCAATCCAACTGTTGCATTTTATCAGTTTTTTAAAGCTGGCCCTTATCTGAGATTTCTAGTTTACTAGAAGATCATGGATACTTACAGGTCTGACCCCATCATGGAAATACTTATCTCTTCCTGCCTTGCATTCTGCGTAGAGCTCATCTGCTATGTAGCCAAGCTCTGTGCAGTTGTTGTTTCTGGCTCACTGCATAAAGCAAAGGAGGCAGGGACCCATCCCAGGAATGCTTCACTGCAAAAATAACCCGGTATGATTATTTTGGTCTTGTTTCCTATAATCCTTATTATCTCATCTCAGTAACTGCCTGATATGTTATCCCATAAGCCTGATCTATTCATTTGGCTGCCTCTGCATGTTCATTTCCCAATGTTCTGAAAAACATGGTGACTTAACAAAATTGTGCCTCCTTTGCACAAGGTCATCTTGGGCAAATGTGACTGGAGATGATGTAGTGCTGTGTGTTACGCTGCATACTTTTATTTTATTGCAAGCACTTCTCTCAATTTACAATTCACAGCCCCCAAACCCTGACCTTGGGGGGCCCTTCTGTGCCAGAGTTCTATGGCTTAAAGGGGGTTAAATAGTGAAATAAGATATTTATTTTTGGCAGCAAGTAGCCCTAGGCATCCATAAATGAGAATTTCTTTGCCTCAGTGGTTCCAGCAAGGGCATATTCAATAGGTGTGTGTTTAGATTCCTGGGGCCCAAAATACACCAGGGGGAAACTAAAGCATCTTTCCATCCCCAGGAAAAGGAGCTGGCAACATGTTGTCATATTAGATATGCATATAATTTTAAAAGCAGCTTACTTAACAGCTCTTGGATAGAAGAGAGAATTATGTAATAGCTGATGTAATAACACTCCTATTGCTGCTTGGGTGGGTGATGGTAAATGCAACTAACTAAAAGATGCCTGCTCTCATGAGGGGGTGAGTTGTTTTCTTAGTAGACCTTTCTTTTTCAAAGTTTGCACCCAGTGGAAGTGAAATAATTCAGTATCTTTTTAAAAGGTGCTTATTTCTAGTGTGGTATGTTGAAGATAGTATGTTGCTGGATGGGATTTTTTTGCATTCTTCATTACCTTGTTTAGCTGGTTCTTCTAACAGTTTCTTGAATTAAATTTATTATAAAATTAAACATCCTTGCAGAGGTCAGTTTTATTGGCTTAAAGCAGGGGTGGCTAACCTGTGATCCTCCAGGTGTTGCTGGACATAAAACTGGTCCCTGACTATTGGCTGGGGCTGATAAGAATTGGTCCAACAACAGCTGGAGAGCCATAGTATAACCATTCTAGCTTAAAGAGTTTTGTATACTGCTATTGAGTGCTCACTGGAAAGACAGATCCTGAAGCTGAGGCTCCAATACTACTTAGGCCACCTCATGAGAAGAGAAGACTCCCTGGAAAAGAACCTGATGTTGGGAAAGATGGAGGGCACAAGGAGAAGGGGACGACAGAGGACGAGATGGTTGGACAGTGTTCTCGAAGCTACCAACATGAGTTTGACCAAATCGCGGGAGGCAGTGGAAGACAGGAGTGCCTGGCGTGCTCTGGTCCATGGGGTCACGAAGAGTCGGACATGACTAAACAACTAAACAACAACAACAATACTGCTATTGCATGCTGCTCTGTTTTAAGCAGAATTCTTGACTTTTTTATGTCTTGCCACTACAGTGGTACCTCGGGTTACAGATGCTTCAGGTTACAGACGCTTCAGGTTACAGACTCCGCTCACCCAGAAATAGTACCTCGGGTTAAGAACTTTGCTTCAGGATGAGAACAGAAATTGTGATCCAGAGGTGTGGCGGCAGCGGGAGGCCCCATTAGCTCAACTGGTGCTTCAGGATAAGAATGGTTTCAGGTTAAGAATGGACCTCCGGAACGAATTAAGTTCTTAACCCGAGGTACCACTGTACAGCCTGACTTCTCACTAAAATTTCGAAGTGCTGCAGCCTGTTAGTGTAGACCGGGCATTGGGAACATCAGGCCTGTGACCCTCTCCAGCCCATGTCCCTCACTGACCCTGCTCCAAATCCTCCTCAAGTTTTGTTTTGTTTTTTGCCTGGTTGAAATGTGTTTTTGAACTGTGATAATTACTTATTCTTGTTCGGACGGAGAAATGGAGGAGCAGCAGATAGAAACCTCAGACTTCCCTGTGTCTGGAATGTAGCCTGCTTTACAAAAGTGAGTCACATCTATTGCTCTGCCCAACTTTTGTCTCTCTCCCCCCCCAGCCAGCATGTGGCCCTCAAGCTGAAAACCCTGGTGCAGTTAGTGTTGAGCAAGATGGACTAATGGTGTGATGATATACTACTTGCGTTTCCTATCTAATGCTGGCTTCTTCTATGGAGCAATATTACCAAATCCCTGATAAAAGAATATTTCATCTCCTAGTGAATGTGTATCATGCTTGTCTGGTGCAAGGTCTGTATACTTGCTCAATGCCTGGTCTCTACATTTCATACATCTGGATCCACCAGCAATTCCATCTTTCCAAAATAGTCAGCCACAGATGATGGAGTGGAAATGCACAGCTTCAACTCTGTTGCCTTCTCTGATTCATTAGCCTGACATTCAATTTTAAGTGAAATGTAGGCAGGGAAGTTTTTAAACCCAGGATGGGAACCCGTGGCCCTCCACATGTCCAACTTTCATCAGCCAGCATGACCAAAGGTCAGCGATAATGGGAGGTGTAGTCCAGTAATTTATGGAGGGCCACTGGTTTCCCACCCCTGGATTAACTCTTTACCCTCCACACCATTTTTCTGATCATGGGTGTCCCACAGGGTCAGGAGGGTATTCGAGTATCGCTAGCATAACATATGACCTGTGTGTACGATGCCAGTAAGTGGTAGGACCGTTCTGTTACATCACTAACCATATTAAAACATTCATCTACATATAAAAGGGGCTTTCTTTTTTCACTGCCCTCACAATTTGGGGACTGGCAGCCCAGGAGACGGCATTTTCTGTGGCAGCTGCTAAGTTGTGGAATTCCCTCACCACAGAGGTGCATCTGGTACCTTATGCAATTTCCCTCATGTGCTGAACTTGCACGTATCTACCCTGGCCTTTGGCATCTGACAGATGTTTTTAGGACCCATCCTATTATTCTGTTTCTTTTAAACTGGTTTTAGAAGTGTATTTTTAAATTGCTGTACCTTGTAGTGAAGTGTGGGCAAGAAGTTGAATTAATAATGATAGGAATGCATGTACAAATTGCCTGCCTGTTAGCAATGTTTTGTAAATATCTACATCTGTTGACACTATTGGATGTATGAATTGTTAATGCTAGATCCCTGCAGCTTTTCTAGCTGCCTCATGTTCTAAACTTCTAGTAAAAAATGAGTCAGATGAAACTACTGTGGCTGCCTGGTGAGTCATCAGTCAGCAGAAATACAAGGTCATCAATGAGATTGAACTCATTCAGAGGGATGGTGGCTTACTGAGTCCTATGAATAAGCTTGATTTTAAAAATACCAGTTCTTCTACAGCATTTTAAAAACTATCAGTTGCCTTCCCATGTAAGTAGCGTGGACACAACACATATTAGTAGCTTTCAATCACATTATTTACTAAAAAGTTATTCCCGAGAAAGATCTTAGTACTTAAATTCTCCACCCATTTGAAAAAAACTTATTTTAGCCTTTTCATCTACAGCAGGGGTGGTCCAACATGGAGGCCACATGCGATCCTCAAGGCCTTTTTTGGCGGCCATTTCTAAGTACCAAACAAGCGACGCTAGTGGCAGTGGGAGTCCCAACATCCAGGATCGTCCCCCCACTCCATTGACCACCAGCAGCAACGAATTGCTGCACTCTGGCATCCTTGGAAATTCCCACCTCCTCGGTTTCCCTGCCATGGGTGCTCCAGGTGATGGAACGGCGGCCAGACCTTTGGTAGCAGGGGTTCCTCCTGATCGCTGTGGCAGGGGTTCTCAAATGGTGTGACGCGCCACACTGGTGTGGCAGGAGAGGATGGCAAGTGTGGCGGGAAGATTCAGGGACAATCCAAGTAGGATTTAAACATTCCAGTGTGTGGTATCGTATTGTATCATAAGATTTTTTTGGGAGCGTACAACCAGAAACAGTATGCATGTCTTTCTTCAAGAGCATTGGCTATTCTTCTACAATTCTGCATGACATATTGTTGTGAACAGGGATTTTCAGCTCTGACAAATATGAAAGATCAGAAGAGAGAAACGCTTATTTGTGTTGATGAGGAGATGATAGTTTGTCTCAAATTAGACCTAATATAAATATGATTACCCAGCAAAAGTAAGATCACACACCTCATTGAGTTTCTATACATCCTTAAGGTACATATTTAAGAGGCTTGTTTATAATTATACTTGGGAATGATTCATGTTCTTATGTATCTGCATTGTTTTATACTTTCTGGATGTCCCATGATCATAGTATAAATTAGTTGTGTTCTATGTTATAAATCAAGCACTGCTAGGAGTTGTTTCTTTTTGTTTTCAATATATTTCTTGCCAATAAAAGGAATGGTGTGGCACGAACAAATTTTTATTCTGAACGTGTGGCATGGAGAAGAAAGTTTGAGATCCACTAGTCTAATCCCTGTTAAAGGGGGGGTGGGATAGACAAGACAAAAACAACAACAGGAGGCAAAAGAAGAGGCAAAGCCTCAAAATATCACTGAAAGATAAAACTTTATCAGTAGTAATAGTCCCTGTGAAACAGTAAGATGATCAATATATTTCAGTTGATGACAGCCTTCCTCAGGGGCACTTCACAAGATTAAGTTTCTGTCAAACCAGAATTCAAATCCCTGATTACCATAAATCACTATCTCTTGGCTTCAATGCTTTATTTCATAGGATCCCCGTGCATGCAAATGAGATTATCAAATAGTCACAAATGAAAAGTTCAGTGTGAATGTAAAATCCATAAAAGGAAAACCCTGAAGGTGGAATCCCCCCCCCACTTTGTTTTGAAGTATGAAAAAGCTAGTTAACTGTAAAACACTTTGCACCTTTTTCATATCCTAGTATGTAAAAGACATTGAGATTGGCCACTAGATGGCCCTGCAAGCATTATATTATATACAATCTTTTGTTGAATATAACTCCTAGTTACATAAATATGAGGCAGTTGGTTTTGTTTTTCTACTGATGCTCAATGCAGGTGTAGGTAGAACTCTACTAAAGAACATTACCAACTTGATTTTGTAGTGCTAACCTGCAGAAGTAAACTTTGAGGAACCTTAACAGCAAAAATGCTCTCTTTCAATCCCTAGGAACGGTTTGAAGCTCTCTTCTCAATCTACGATGAACATGTTACATTCCAGCTATTTAAAAGCTTTAGACGAGTAAGGATAAATTTTAGCAATCCAGAAGCAGCAGCAAGAGCTCGAATAGAACTTCATGAGACCGACTTCAATGGGAAAAAACTCAAGCTGTATTTTGCCCAGGTATGCATGCATGCATGTTTGTCGAGATTTGTATCCTGTCTTCCTATCCAAGGTGAGCTCTTTCTTCCATATTATCCAGGTGTGAAGCACCTTATCTCTCTTACCCCTTGTGGATAATTTATTAAGCCTTCCATGTATTTTTCCAGTAGCAATTTAAACACCTGGTGGCAAACACTGCCTGTCTTTTTGACCTGTTCTGTTCTAGACCAGAGACAAAAGTGAGCAGGCAACAAATGTAATTTTTACTTTTTGTAGAATAGCCTCATTTCTACATCCAGACAAGCAAGAGACATTATAGATGACCATCAAGATGACCATCCAACCTCTGCTTAGAAATCTCCAGTGAAGCAGAGTCCACCACATTCCAAAGGAGTCCATTCCATTGTCAAACAACTCTTACCATCAGAAAGTTTAGTCAGATGTTTAGTCAGAATCTCCTTTCTTGTAACTTGAATCCTTTGGTTTAGGTCCTACCCTCCCGAGGAGGAGAAAACAAGCTTTCTCCATCTTTCATGTGACCAGCCCTTTAGAAATTTGAAAATGGCTATCATATCTCCTCTTTAGCTTTTTTGCTGCTGCACCACACTGTTGACTCATGTTAAGTTTGGATCCTTTTCACATGAACTACTGGGAAACCAGGGGTCCCCCCCCCATTTAATATTTGTGCAGCTGGTTCTTCCTGCCTAAGTGTGGAACTTTACATTTGTCCCTATTGAAATTCATTTTGTTAGCTTGGGCCCAGTTCTCCAATCTGTTAAGGCCATCTTGAATCCCGATGCTGTCTTCTGTGGCATTAGCTACCCCTCCAAGTTTGGTGTCATCTTCAAATTTGATGAGCATCCCCACTATCCCTACATCCAAGTTACTCATAAAGTTATTGAACAACAATGGACCCAGGCCCGAACCCTGTGGCACCCCACTTGTCACCTTTTTCTGGATGAAGAGGAACCATTAGTTACCTCATCCAGCCCATATTTTACCAGCTTCCTCGCAAGAATATCATGGGGGACTTTGTCAAAAACCTTAGTGAAATCAAGATACACTACACCCACAGCATTCCCCTCACCCACCAAGCTTGTAACTATCAAAAAAGGAAATGATATTCATCTGGCATGACTTGTTTTTGAAAAACCTATGCTGGGTCTTAATAATCACATCATCTTCTAAGGAGACATTTGCCTGCCTCCAGTCTGCAGGGACCTCACCCAGTCTCCAAGAATTCTCAAACATTATATATTATTTAGTGCAACCCCAACCAGAACAGTTGGTGGCCATAAGGCTATGTTTTCCTTTCAGAAAGGAATGTACACAAGCCAGTCTGTTCCTTGCATATGTTTTATGAGCTGCTGTACTTCACTATAGAGGGTCAGGGCTCTATGCACTCAATGCTTTTTTAAAAAAATGTAAAACTCTACCCTTAGAAAGTATTGTTCCTGTGACCTGCATTTCTCTTACCCTATTCATTTTTTGTCTACTATTTGTGTTCATTTTATTCTAGCTTCGGTAGTGAAGAAGAGGAGTAAGAATCCAAACAGGGCATGACTATTCCCCTTCCCTCCCACCATCACTGGGCTTCTTGTTTGGCCATCACTGGCTTTTTTATTTCATCAGAAATCAATCATACACTTCACAGCCATAAGCGCTAGAAACACTATTGTAAAGAAGAAAATACTGCAGTCACATACGATATTCGTCCCTACGCACAATGTCCCTACACACAATCGCAGCACATGCACGACCCTGAATGTAGTCATTTCATTAGTCATGAGGTTGGGGATCTGTTCCTTGCTTAGCCAGCGATTCAGTGGATAGCTTTGAGCAGATCCCTGGCTATAAAATTGCATGATAGTGGCATCCCCAGCTGGAAGAATGGATGAGCTAAGAACTGAAAACCATCCTGTAGTGCATTTGTAGTGTAGGCATTTGATAAGAGCTTAGTCAATGTATTCTATACTCACGGCATGGTCAGTGTTTAACTAAAATAGCTACAGGGAAGGAAACTGCATTTAATATCTGGATTCCTTCTCCAGTCAGTGAAAGAGGTTTTTGAATTGTGTGGCTAGGCTAGAAAAGCAGTCTTTCAAGAGAATTATGTCCTCCTCTTACTGTTTTGACTGCATTTGTTTTCTCAGGTTCAGGTGCCCAATGAAGTGGGAGACAAATCTTACCTCTTGCCACCACAGCCTGTCAAACAGTTCCTGATATCGCCACCTGCATCCCCACCAGTAGGATGGAAGCCAAGTGAAGATGCCACTCCCATGATAAACTATGACTTGCTCTGTGCTGTTTCAAAATTGGGCCCTGGTAGGAATGCTTTTTTCTGCCTTGCTTTCTCCATTTCTATATTAGAAAAAATGATAACATCAGGCTTGTAAATTGCCACTTGCCTGGTAGCCTGTGACACGTAAAAATGGTCCCAAGATGACTATGAAAGGAAACTTTTTTTAAAAAAAAGCTTTGCTTTGTTTTGGGACCACAAATGACTAATATGAGTGAGGGGTGAGGGGGCTACCATAAACGTCTGTCATTTAATAACTTTTGTGAATTTTTCTGTCTGCAATAGACTGCAATAAAGGACTATAGGTAAAAAGAATAATTTTGGTACAAAATGTAAACGGAATTCCATAACCACAAAACTTACAATGTGAAGTTGGAATGGATTGTTTAAAATTTGATTCTGCACAGTTTGAGCAGATTGATTTCCTGCTCCCCAGTGGTGCTGGTTGTTGGCACCACAAGTTGGAAGTTCCTTTGTTTGTGAGGCAAAAAAGGGGACTGGGAGCAAGTGATGTTGAGTAGGTCATTTCTACTCAAATTGTCCTGTAGTTTTGATACACTGTTTAGAATTTAAGAGGGGAGATATAGATATATAGATATACAGTGGTATCTCAGGTTACATACACTTCAGGTTGCATACGCTTCAGGTTACAGACTCCGCTAACCCAGAAATAGTGCTTCAGGTTAAGAACTTTGCTTCAGGATGAGAACAGAAATTGTGCTCCGGCGGCAGCAGGAGGCCCCATTAGCTAAAGTGGTGTTTCAGGTTAAGAACGGACCTCCGGAATGAATTAAGTACTTAACCCAAGGTACCACTGTATAGATGTATAGATATATAGATATGGATACACACACACACACACACACACACACACACACACACACACCTTTTATAATGTTCTGTCCACCATGCTGATACAATAATGCTGTAATTTGTCCTACCCTCTAGGAGAGAAGTATGAGCTTCATGCAGGAACAGAATCCACTCCCAGTGTCGTCGTCCATGTGTGCGAAAGTGAAACAGAAGAGGAAGATGAAATTAAAAATCCAAAACAGAAGATAGTGCAGACGAAGCGTCCGGATCCACCACCCACATTAATAAATGAAACAAAAACTCTTGAATGTACGCTAGAGGTAGGGGGTGGGATGCACTACTGAATTTGAGGCTCTCTGACAACAGCAGTGAGTGGTAAATGTTTGCATTGCTGTGTGACGCATAGCGGCAAAAGACTTCTCTTGTAGTCGTCTCGCATCAGAAAGACTATAGATGCTAACGTTTTGAAGAGCACTTTAATTTTAAGGTTAACTCCCAAGATGTAGCAAATCCACTGGGTTTCAAGTCCTAGAATACTAGGAAGGTGCCATTTTTGGAATGCGTGTTACCATTTTCTTGGTGTTCAGAAGGCAGAAAGGAACTTGGCTGCTGCCATCTCTATATGGGTTACCACATGGTTTTGTATGTGAGTCTCATGTATATTTTTGTGTGCTGATGTATAACATGATCTGAGTAACATGATGTTCTAAGTAATATATTGACGAAATATAAATGTAATGTACAATGTACATTGTTATCAGTAGAAAAATCTCAAACTGGTTTGGGGTGATAGAACCAAATTTCCAAACAGGTTTGCTTTTGTGATTTTTGTTTTTCCTTAGAAATGCCATAGTTGTGTGTGTTGAATTTCAAGGTACTCTTGTGAATTGACGTGAGGCAAAAGACGACATTGGAACTGTGATAGGTTGTCTTTCTGCTCGTTGCACCTATGAAATGCAAACTAGGAAGCTGCAGATTATGGACTGACTCCCTCTTTGGCCCGTGTCTCCTAATTTTTCTTAGCCTCTGTCTGTCTCCAGCTGTGGCTGTCCCAAGTGCAGGATTTATTTTCTGTGTTTATCTTGTATCTCTAGCAGCAGGATTCATACAGCCAGGAAGGGTCCTACATCCACATGCCTCTTCATAAAGCTTAGCGCCAGAGTGTTGCACGTCTTGTCCAGCTAACTGGATTCCTCAACTGGATTCTCCAGGATGTGGTATGCAAAAGTGCACAGTCACCCCCTACAGCAGTGACAGTGTAGATGTGCCCCTGTGCAGGTCTGGAAGTACCGGTATATATCCCGTATTTCTTTTCCCCATTCCCTCCTAAAGGCTCAGACTGGTTTGTGCCCCTACATAGCAGGGTGGATTTGATTTGATTTAAATCAAATCAGTTTAAATCACTCTTTAAATCACTAGTCAGTAAGACTTGATTTAAATCACTTTTTTACAGGAAGATTTGTTCTTGCTGGTATAATCTTAATATTTACAAACAGATGAAAGTTTCATTTTTGGAATAATAAATTCTCAGAGTAGTTTTTACAGTTATATCAAAAATTACTGATTTGGTTACTATTAGAAATACATAAACAGATAATTATGAAATTATTGTTTATATTTGGACAACTTTTCTGCTGTACTTTATTGGAAGGAGAAAAATAATCATTTCCTTAATAACAACTTAAACAATTTATTTAACTAAAACAATAACATAGCATATGTATCCATGTTTGTTAACTGATGTGGTTAAACGATTTTTTAAAAAAACCAGACTGAGTTTTAGCACACATTAAAAACTTAAAACAAATCCTTCTTTCTTGATGAATAGTCTTTAGACTATAATGTAACTTAAATAGAAAACTATCTTTAGAAATATTTTTCTTCCAAAAGCATTTTATTTTAAAAATCCGATTTAACTCAAAAAAATCCAGTTTAAATGAAAAAATCCATTTTTTTCTTTTTATCCACCCTGCTACATAGTCTTCTTTGCTGAGCTATTACAGCCCTCCCACCCTTCAATTGTCCTACTTCTTGACACACAGGCCCTCTTCAGACCCCTTTTGGTACTCTTTGTCTTGCAGAGAACATTGATTTAGCAGCTTTTGGTGAGCTTCTGCTGGATTTGCTTGCTTGCTTATTGCCTGAGCTTTCCTTCCTTCCTTCCCTCTCTCCCTTTGCATTGAATCTTCTATCCCTACTACTTCTTGGGGAGGGAGAAGAATGTGCTGCAGGAAAAGTGTTGACCACCCAGCTGCCTAGACTTGACAGATAAGGCTAGCCTTGTTTGTTATGCCTTTTCTTAACACTGTGTTTCCCACCTTAGCATTTTTCAGCAAAGTAGCACCTTCAGATGCCAGATATTTTCCGTAACACTACATAGCTGATACTTTTTATGGTTGAACTAAATGAAGGAATGGAGGGGTGGGTGGGAAGTATATGTTGGATTCTATTTTATCTATAAAACCATCAGCTCTACCAAATTTGCTAAAACCAAGAGTCTTGTGGCACCTTAATGGCTGAACAAATATATTACAGCACAAGCTTTTGCGGACTACATGCAAATTTGCTGGGAATTGTGTTGGATCTCAGTGGGGAAGGACCTCTCTCTTTATGCCCAGTGTCGGAAACCGCTTTTCTTCCCGCTCCACATTATCTGACATACGTGGTGGGGGAGTGTGTTCAAGTCTCTCTGCACCAGGCTATGGAAACATTCAGAAGCAGATTGAATCGCTTTTGCTTGAGACTTTTTGGAGCCAAATACACAGCAGAAAAATTATACTGGTTTCAGTTCTCTACATCTGTCAGAAGCCACAGAGAAAGAAGATGCCACCAATAATGGTTGGCTGCTAACACCAGTCCAAATGTGTGACCCCTTATTTATAGTGATTCAAGGAAGTCTGTACCACTTCAAGCTTAAGCAGGACTTTGTCCTACTAGTGAGTGAAGACTGTCTTTGCTCGGGACCAGGTTTTAGGGATACAGTGTTGGAGGTGGACCAGTAAGTCCCATTCAAAGCTTGCACAGTGCTAAAATTTACTGGCTGGCCTTGGGCCAGTTATACTTTCTTCATGGGCTGCCCCAAACTCTGGATGCACATGTAAAGTTGACTATAGTAGAGAATAAAGGCAGTTGCTCTTTTACCAGAATAAATCTTAATTCTTGCCTGTTTATTAAGAACCAAGGCAAAGGTACTTATCACAGTTGTTGGTTCCCTAAAATATGTTGTAAGGTTTTCTCCTCTCTTCTGTTAGCATTTTTTTTAAAAAAAAAATCTTGATAACATTTGTTCTAAAGAAAAGTAGAATTTGGTTATTTCCAATAAATAATCCATGTTTATTGCGGTGTGCTCAGAACTGAGTATTAAGTCTGTTTTTGCATGATAAACTTAGGAGGTGAGGAAATCAGTTCCTGAATGTGAACCATGATGATATCCAGGTGGTATAGCTTTGTTTGTGGGTCTTTGAAACCCTCTATACCTCAACTAGATTCCCAGTAGCTGACATCCAACTTTTCTTCAGGAATCCTAATCTCTTCATTAGTGAAGCTGCAAGATGTATTCTTTTATAGGTTTATGTACAATAGCGAGATCACCTATAAATATATACTTAACAAAAATTGCCTGGTACCTGTCAATTTTCTAGGCAAGCTGTTTCCTAAGGCAGTAGAAAGGGGATCTGCCCTTGGGGCCAAATCTGCTTTCCTGAACAATGTTCCCTCGTTGCCAATGCAGAGGTGAGAGAAGTGTAAAGAGACCAATATTTGAAGCAGCGAGGTATGCTGGCAGGCTGCTTTAGAGAGTGAGGATTGGGGTGTTAGCCTGCCACGCCTTCTGCTTTCCAGGGCTGTCCCTATCATTAGGCAGAATGAACCCTCAGTTGGCAGATGATTGGAGGCGGTGGCAGCAGCCAACCTCTGTTTCTCTTGACTTCTCCCTTGCCATTCCCTTCTGTGTGCCACATGTCCTGTGCCGCACCTCCTGAACTAGCCTGCTGCCCGCAGGTGCGGAGGGCATTATTCTGTCGCTAGTGTTGAAATAAGATCCAGCTGCCAGCCTAGTTGTCTTGTGCAGATGGGATGGGAGGGGGAAACTCCACTCTGTCCTTTGCCTCAGGCAGCAAAATGCCTTGGCCCATACATTGTACTTTCTCAGAGTGGCTTCCTGATAGTTGGGGACCAGGGCTATAGAACTTGGAGAATACTGTGCTTTTCATAATGAAGTGTCAAATCATGAGACGTGTTTTACAGCCTGGTATTGCTATAGATGATGGTCAACAGTGTTTTTCAAAAAGGACAAATAAAACATTTTGCCATTTATGTGCCTTGTTTTTTCTCTGTGAAACAGGAGGGAAGGAGACAGAGATGACCTATGAAACCACAGTCTAGTGTGATTTCGTCTGGCTGAGCCTTGCTGCAATTTTCATTTTCATTAGCTTGTGCAGGAGAACTTGGCGCATTTTGCCCCCGTGTTAATTAGCATGGCAGAGATATTCCCTCTTGAGCATCAAATGTCTTGAGCTGGCCTTCCTGGGAAACATAAGAAGGGCTTCAGAGATGAACAGAGGTAGGTGGGTTAGCAGTAGGCCAGACATTATACTGTTTCCTGTCCACCACCAGATAAGGAGAGCATGGCTTGCATACTGGGAATGTGCTACCTGTTAAAACACTGGCTGTACAAGCCTATTTCCAGAACATTAAAACAGAAGTTTTACCAATAAGCAGTATAAAATTTGCAGTAATGAATCACGGAAGTGTTTCATCCCGAAGGACCCCACCATCTCTTCACCACAAAGGTTTTGTGCCCTTCTACCCTTCCTTGGAGCTAGTGCTCTTGTGTGCTGAACCATTTCTCCAGCAAAGGCCTGAAGCTGTTCCTACTTAATTGATTTCAAAGCAGGTGATGTGATCTCTCTCTCTCTCTCTCTCTCTCTCTCTCTCTCTCTCTCTCTATATATATATATATATATATATATATTTCATACACTGACATAATTTTTTCCTTCACTGGGAGACAGGTTTATCTAGTGATAGGGGAGGTGTGTTTGTTTAGGTAACTAAGTGTTTCGAAAGTTTCAAGGTGGGGTGAGGGAAAGGAAAGAAAGGGTTCCAAATCTTGTTAATATGAGCAATTAACATAGCAAAAAGTAATTTCCCTATTTACTGTTTCCTGCGTGGGCTTTTATTGCAACTTCAAGGTGTTATTCTGCTACTTTGTCATTCATACTTGAACAGTGGACCTTCTACTAGGGCTAGGAATGTCTGGGCCAAGCTCAAATCGAGCTAATTCACTTCTAGTATAATTTTGCTCGCTCATGGACCCTGATCCTTTAAATTGGGGTGGGGAGCCACTTTTTTCTGAAAAGCTGGATCAGGAAATGGCGCGTCCTCTGCAGGGCTTCCATTCAGTGCTGTTTAAATTCAACACTGAATGAGAACCCTGATGCTTTCACTAGGGATCGGATCCACTTGGGAATTCTGATCCCCGTCAGGCTTCCAGAGTATAAGCAACACCCACTGCAAGCCGCACTGCAAAGGAACAATTGAAAATACGTGGTGTAGCATTCAAAGAGCCTAACAAATCATTAGAATAAATAATTTTTCCTTCTCCAGTTGGTTGCTTCCCATGTGATTAAGTACCCACTGATAGAAATGTATATGCAACTGCCTCTCTGCAGCCAAGTATGTGGTTTGTGTTTCTAAATCACACACTTGCATTTCAGACCACAGAGTTGTCGTTGGAGGATGCAAATATTATACTAGGGCTAGTGTACATAATCAGCTTGGCTGCCAACCCCACAACATGTTGCTTCTTCAT